CAATAGTACCGATAGGAGTAATGTCAATGTTAGTAACATAAATCAAAACAATAAGAAGTAAAGTAAAAGAAATAATAAAAATAATGCACAGGTAGAGTTGAGGTTTTTTTTTCCTACACAGAAATTTGGTTATTGAAAATACGACTGTGAAGTAACCAGAAGCTAATGAAATTCTGGCAATTTCTGTTGTACCTCATGTGAAGCCTTTAACCTTATAACTCTCATTAGTCATCAAGACATAATGTCTCTTCACAATATCAACTCGATATCAAGTAGAGAAATGATGAAAATAAAGAAAAATATCAATTAAGGGAGTCTTAGTCGATCCAATACCAAATTCTTCAAACTAACATCATAAGGATTTTATGGCAGACATTAAGGAGAAACATTAATGAGATCTAGACACCAAAAGCATATTCAAGAATGGCTCATGGAGATACTGTGACACTTAAAATGGAGTTAGTAATGCAAAGTTCACAAATAAAGCATGAGTTCATACAAAATAATTTAAAAACAATGTACATAAAAACAAAATAAAACAAAGGTTTGATTAAAATGCAAGTACCCTTAAGGGCAACAAAAATTTCCTTGTGTTTTCGTGTCAGCTGTACACCAGATTCTACAACAAACAAAGCCTTTTCAAGGCATTCAGAAAGTAAAGCAAAGCAAAAAAGTAAATATAGCTGTAGCACCAAAGCAACAGCAGGGCAGAAACAAGGGAGATTTTGGTATGCGATGCACCGACACCACGCCTGTTTTTGTACACTCATTTGCAACTACCTGGAGCAGGCTTCAAAGAAATGTAATGTCATTACCTATATGTATCTGTCATCACTAGTAAGTGGTCGCTATCTGAAAACTATTTATCTTTGAGGAATTGGAACCCTCTCTTAAGTTTAACAAAGAAGAACCTGCTCCATCAACATGTAGGTAAAAAGATTGGCACTCCCTAAAGTTTTGGCAGGGGGGTATGACTGGCCTCAGAAACCCTTTTCCAAAGTTGTCTTACCTAATTTGTACTATACAACTGTACACTAACTCAATAAAACATTCAGCTACTGCGTATTTTTAAACCATGGGGTTTCAAAAAAAGCAAGTTACTGGCGGTCTACTTCTCCTTAGAAGACATCTTAATGCTTAATGCTGTTTAACCTGCAGGTGTTTGGATTTCACGTTATAGTCATTTTACACAATCATCAGCTGTTTATGGAAAAATTATTGAAACTCCTGATACAATATCCGAGTAAAAAGGTGACCATTTAACAGAAACTCGTCAATGAAAATATTTGAATAGCATACTATCTGCTTATAGAATGTATTTCAGGGTTCAATCCTCCTACACAACATTTAAATTAATATAAAAGTATTTTCATCCAGTAGTGTCATGTTACATACGTAATCTCCTCCTCAGAGAGTTTGAACTTCTCAGTGATGTCAATTTTACTTATGCTGATATCGGCATGATTTGGGAGCACATCATTGGCAAACATGTCTACAACATTGTTTATGGCATTACTTATAACTGGAGTGATTATCTCGTTCCAGCGTGGGTGATGTTTTACAAAGTGTAGAAGAGGCTGAATGTATCAATCCGGTGTATGAAGGGTCAGTGTTACATTATCAGTTCTAAACGTAGCCTTGGTTTTGCTGCCATGCATGATTGGGCAGGAAGTTGCGTTGTAAGAGAATACTTGGATACATCCTAATAAAGCCTCAGGTAATGATAACATAATAATTATTGATCTATAAAAATGTTTCTTCTTAGCATCGAGAACAAAATTATCGCACTTGTTTTAAGCTGGGTTTCGCTACCTCATATGGACAAAGGTTTGTCAAGATTAGACTCAATATAAGATATTGTATAGTCTCTTGCTATTTATAAACCTTAAGCAACGATTTCACCATGCAGTAGTAACATCATTCATTTCATCGGTTTTTTAAACAAGAGACCTTATTGGTCCAAGGTTGAAGTAGAAAGTCAGTCAAGAGTAAATTTCATCATGTGAAATTATTTCAATAAACGTATATTTTGATGTTAATAAGTTAAACAAAAGCGCAATTGAAGAGAAGGAAAGAGTAATTAATAACATTTTTAAACCGCCTTTTTTCTCTCTCAATTTCCAGGATGGTCTAGCATATGTGTGACGACTGTGGACTGAAGGCACACTTCGTTGATTTTTAATTTTTAGGCTTCCCGCAAGATAATAGACGCGTTGATTGAACTCAAATTTGCAAGTGCAAAACAGCCATGGTGTGGTCAGACAATACTTTTTCAAGACTTCATAATCAGACATGTTTCAATAATGTCCATTAGTTGAATCAACGTTGTTTATTGGAAACGTCTTACTTACAAACAAAGAATCTGATCCTGAATGGAAGGCACTTGAAGCTTCTGAGCTAAATCTCATAGCAATTATACCCAGCCCTAAATCATACCCAAGAAAGCAGTGAACTTTCAAGGCTAATAGTTGGGTGTCACGTCACGAAGCCAAACGTTGAAAGCAAGGCAAATTCTAATCGGTTTTTTATTCCCTCGTAAAGGAATCTCTTCAGTCACAAATAAGTTGCAATTCATACTTTCACCTGTAAATAAGATAAGGAAGGAATCGACCACTCCGTCGTCAACTACAGGGTAACAGTTAATCGCCGATGAAACTGATCTTCTAGCAAAAAAAATTATAAGACTTGCAATACACCCTTTTTTTCCGTCAAAATGGCAACAGCTGTTGATGTTTTAATCAGCCTTGCGTTAAGAGAGCCAACGGGCTGTACTTTGTCTAGAGAGGGGAGATAGAAAATCCACCGTTTTGCTTCAAGGCACTAGATTATTATGAAAGTTTTTTACTTTAATCACCTAAGTCTTTACCGCAATTCCTACATGAGTGATGTTTTCATATACAACTGAAGGTGGACCTTTAAGAACATGGAGAAAAAAAATCGGCAGTAACGAATAAAGCACTAAAAAAAAGAAAGGAATCTTTGTCTGAAAACTTCCGAAGAGGAAAAATTAAATTTTAATCAGCTGAGGTGAGGTGTTTCTTCGCCCTCCGGGCCGATTTCATATCATCACCACGCGAAAATGACACAAATTACTCTACTGAATATGTTTAACATTTCAACACTCCCATAGAGTTTTTAGCTTGTGATACGACTCCCTGCTATCTGGAAAAACATAGCGAACAATACATATCATGGTGATAGCCACATAGTGGTCATGCTACCAAAGGGGAAAACATTTTCAAATTCAAGTTTCAGCACGTTTGGCCCAAATATGACAACCGGTTTTTTAATAAATTCTCCTGTATTTAATTTCAAAGTTCATTCCCATATCGAATTGATTTGAGTTTACATGTGTCAAACCTAATTCTTAAATCCATTTATACATCCCACGTACTTGGTAAAATCTACCTGAATTCGTCCTCTTATCGATAGTTCTCTATTCAAATCTTAAACTGATCTCAACTAACTTTATCAACAAACTTCACGCAGCTCATCTTTGAAACCAGCTTTGGCATTGTTCAGAATTGAGACATGACGGTTTTTGCGACGTCGAAATATGTAATTCCGCATTTTGCGCCAGTTTGATTTCGTCGGAAAAAAACAAAAGATCAAGTTCCCACATTCAACTGAATTAACGCGGATAAAATTAACACATTCCTGTCATTTAAACACAATGCGGAAATTGTCAGAAGATTTAAATAGTTTGCTTTGACGCGTGCTAAGAATACTTGAAACAAATTATAAAAATAAAAATTTAACTCTGTTCTTCCATTGAATATCGATCTTCTATCAAGTCGCAAGGCAATCGATTAAAATTTGATCAGCTCTGTTAAAGGACAGAACGTCAGTGAGGCAGGGACATTGAAGGACGTGATCATTGTGAAGTACTGAAGCTTATTTCCTCTTTGCTTTTCTTATATGGTAACAAGGTCACGCATGAATCATCTGACTGTGACCAACCTCGAAGAGAAGAAGCTGTCATCGGTCGATGGGTCAGTTCGAGCGGATGAAATTGCAGTTACCTTCAAGCCTGGGTAAATAGATTTTAACCAACGAAGAACCGATGGAAAAAAAAGACAAAGCATGGTTCGCACTTTGTTGATGTCACGACTTTTACACGTTCTTCACAGAACGGTAAGATTTCTGTTTCTCAGCTGTCTTGCTTCAGAAGGTATGTGCTCAAACTTATCCTCTTTCGTGTTTGACGCGGACGATGTCAACAACATTCATGCGTTTTTGTATCGAGGGTCTGAATTTTGGATACAGAATTGAAAAATGTACTAACTGCGAATTTTGACACGGTAAACTTTGAAAGGCCTGGCATATTTCACCGAGCTACGGTAAAATAATTTGGAGGCCATTCATCGAATTTGAAAGTGGCTTATACGAACATGCTTCAGTAAAAATCTAGGAATCACTTCTTCCGAGTAACAGTATCCCCGTTAATCGAAAAATTCGACGAGAGGAATTAAAAAAACCAAAAAGAATGTGACATTCCTCACAAGATAAATGTTTCCTTCCTTCATAAATTAAAATAAGTTAATGAAACCCAGCGGGTAGGCGCCATAAAATGCCGAATGGAGTACCGTGCTGAAAAGAGCACAGACACATTAATTGCTGATTATGCAAATTTCAGCCACCTAATTACTCAATGTTTGTCTCGCAAGAATGGCTTCGTCGAACTGCGCTCCGTCTAAAACAGGGCGACGTGTTTGTCGTAAAGAGCGTCATTTTCACATTCGTCGAGCTTCTCCACCGTCGAGCACAATGTTCAAAGTTCTTCAAAAAAAAAAAAAAAAAAAAAAACTTCAAGTATCCTTTGCAAGAGTTTGCCAAAATTCCATTCGAGACGGTGAAAATAAATCCGCAGGGATTTTCAACTATTTATGTAAGTACGGGATAGGTGGAACAGAAATCGACTCGCAATTTTAGCTCTGAAATGAGCTATACCATTTTCTTAATTCTCCATAGTTTGCTCTGCTGCATTATGGCCGTCAGGAATGTATGGGCTACCCATGCCAAAAAGCGGCTGTCCAAGGGCAAATGGATTTCAATGGCAAACAGGATACATCTACCAGGATCTCGAGGACGAGGGTAATGTTACTACTGTCTCACCGAACTCACAGCTCAAAGGCCGCGTCTCGGGTGATGTCGAACGGTATTTCTGCATAAAGGACAACATATCAGCAACAGTCGAAAGAAATCGACCCCGATGGCCTGCGGGGGAGTATTGCATCTATCAGAAAGGTTCTTATTGTCCAGATGGACTGCAGAGTGGGTTTATATTATGGGATGACGAAGATGGTGTTAGCGGAACAAACAAAAACGCCCATGCCGGCGTTCTTCCAAAAGGAGTATTTGATAACGACACAAAGATATTCTTTTGCTGTAAGAACACCAGAAACGGACATAAAGAGCCAATAGATCTTCCTTTAGTGTCTCCCTTTTACTTGATGGCGTTTAGACCGCGTTGCCAAGAAGTTCTGTACGCTATACATAAGATGGAATACATTGCATTTGACACAGAAAATGATCATAATTTTGACCGGAAATGGTTCCCATATCCATACGGAGCCGACTTCTCCCCACCGACAATACATTACTGTTACTATAGAGGTACCAGGCTCTCTTATCATCAAATTGTGGTTTGTAACAACTAGTCATGATAAAATACATCTGATAGCCTGGAGCGCTCACGCAGTAGCAACTGAGTCGAGAAAAGAAACTTCGAATTACTCTTGCTACACCTGGGACAGGTTACAAATTTTAGCACATTTCGTAGCCTGTATGGCAGTCTTTTCACTGTCCTTTACACAAAAAGCCATATGTTTATGCTTGCTACCCACTTGGGTCAAGCTTCTCATCCTAAAAATTGTTCAAAGGAAACAAACGGAGTCAGAGAGGGACGGATATGCGTCCTTCCTGTCTGTTGTCAGCTCTCTTGTTGGATTGATTTTGAAGGCCAACAACTCAGTTTCCATCCTACAATGCCACTCATATTTCATCTTCTGAATAAGGCCTGGATGTTCACGCTTGTGTGACAATCGGTTTTCGACTTTCTTACCTAATCTCCTTCCTCATAAGCCTGCCTGTAACGATCCGAAAGAAAAAAAAAATTAACTTTTTTGTAGCTCGAACTAATAGATCAACTGAAGGACGTCATCGACATTAAATGCTCGTAATGACAGTAAAAGGCAATTGTCTTGTAAACGACCCCTCTAAACCCAGACCTTACTTAGCAAGGTAATGTTCGATGGATGTGGTCTTTCAATCCAAGTGTAACATCATTTTCAAAAGGGAAAAAAGGCTTAAGACTTTCTATATGTTCAACACTTGTTAGGGACTCAATACAATATTTCAACCCTCAACGTAGTAGACTTCACTAAGCTACACCCTTAAACTTCGAGGTAGAATTATTGGTCAATATTTAAACATTTTTTCACAACTTAGTCTTCCTTTCATTCGAACAGAGTGCACGCAGACAATGACAGCACTGAATGGCACATTCCGCAGTCCATACTATCCACAAAACTATAACAACAAGGCCTGGTGCAAGTGGCATATTGAGGTCCCTTGGAATTACGCTATTCTGATCACTTTTGATGACGTCAGTTTAGAGTCCGGTTGCTGTTGGTGTGACTATGTCGACGTGTTGGAAACACTAATGAACGGAACAACAGTGTTGATTGGTTCAGTCTGTGACATGACAACGCCTCAATTAAATTCCAGTGAAAACAACGTTACGGTTATTTTTCGATCAGATTTTAGTCAGTCAGGCAAAGGATTTCGTGCCAGGTACCAAGCTATAAAGATTAGGGGTAAGCCTCAAAAAACCTTAAACATTTAGACATCCGATAACTTACATAGCTACATTTGACTCTCTCGAAAAAGAGTGATGTTTTTGTATGCTTATAATTTTCCAGGTCATTTGCCTTTTGATAAAGTGATCGGAGACGGATGTGCTTACGAAAGGCAAAAGTATACAGTAGCCTTAACATGAAACTGAGGTTTTGATATGATTTCTAAGGCTTAACTTAAAAACCATTAACGGAAATACGTTTAAAAAAAATTGAAATGTGAGGGCGTAGCATGGAGTGACCGCAAGGTTCATAGAAGTCCCCTCTTTTTGAGGAAAAGGTTATAAATACCTCACACTAACCGAGTTGATGGTTCACACTTAAGTTTTCTCCGCTGCGATTTGCTCTTTGGCCACGAAAGTCATAACTTTTTTGAAGTTACTTCGGGGGAGGGAAGGGGTAAAATGAGAGACTTTGTCCACACAAACAGTTTTCTACTTTAACGAGCTGCTCAGTAGAGTACAGCTCGCAAAATTGACCGATATAAGAGCACGTAATAACTGTGATGATAGCTATTAGTTTAAAGCGAATATGCAATCTAATCAGAATGTCACAATCTGATTGGCTACGCTACCCGCTATCTATTGCGTAATAGAGAGTAAGTAGAGTGACTAGCCTAACAGCAAGCGGTTGCAAACATAATAACAAAAATATGCGCTTGGGTTGTTGTTACGTTTTGAATAACTAGACGATTTTACTTTAAAAAATACTTCAACATTCACTCTCGATTTTTATGCTGAATAGTTCAGTGATTCGGGCTTTGCCCACATGACCACTATAACGCGATAGAAATCTCACTATCAAATACAGCGTAGTTTAACCAATTAGTGGAAGAGAAGCTGACATGCCCTCAAATAGCAATAAGCTGGGCTACGGATCCTATTCTAGAATATTCTGTATATGCCACAAACATAAAAATATGCTACTTTTCTTAACACAGCAGCCAAAACAACTACTAGCACAACCCTTGCCTCAACTCAGACAAACATGGTCAAAGACAAAGTAACCACAACGTCATCAAGCGAAGAGATCACTCAAGAGATATCTTCTACAAGAGAGAGCAAACTCAGTTCTCAAGAAAAAACAGATCCCACCTCCATGACGAGAGGAGAAGGTTTGTCTGACACCTTGGACGATGGAAGAGAGTCTGAGTCAAACACCTCCCTAATTGCTGGATTAATTGCAGCTTTGGTAGTAATTTGTGCGATATTCGCAATAGCTTTGTTTTGTTTTCACAGAAAGCGGTAAGTTCAACCTTTTGTTATCGATATTATATCCTTAGCCCTTTACCTCCCATGAGTGACCAAGAATTTCTCCTTACAATAAAAATACAATATCAAGCATAGAAGTGAGGAGAATAAAGAAAAATATCAATTTGGAGATTATTAGTTGATCCAATATCAAATTGTTATCATGAGAATTGTTAAGCAGACAGTAAAGATAATTACAGTTTTTTCATTTAAAATCATGAAGTGCTAATGTGAAGTTTTGCCACCTTCGCAAGCGTACATAGCAAGTCGTATAGGAATCTCTCATAATTTACTTTTCTGATCTCACTTTGAACTCAACTATCGATTGTGAACGGCACCTTTAGAGTAAGCTAGATGTACGGAAAATCTTTACAAAAGTTTGCACACCGTTAGTGAAGCAAACTATATGTTTCATCCAGTTTTTTTTTTTCTTTTTTTGGATTTTCAAATTTACTGCAGGCGTAGTAGGGAAAATCAAAACAACCGGAACACACCTGCAGTGAGCTTTCAACCGGACGTGAAAGCAGTCTCCATTTACGCCACCCCAACGGATGTGTGTAACACGAGGTAAAACCTGTGAAAGTTTGTGGCCAGGGTTACAATTCGACATTTCTTTATCACTGATGGTCGTGTCGCTTCTACTTCACTACCTGCATCTGCCGTAAATCCTAAAATTGTCGCGCCCGGTGAGCTTTTTTCAAAGTCAGGTTGAGAGGGAGCGACGGGGCTTGTAACGTGTGTGTATATGAAGAATCTTATCAAACACATACTTGCATGTTTTTCTGCTTTCAGTTCTGGCTGTGATGAAGAAGAAAATGATAATCGTTACACATATGTCGACCCACCTGGAATGTATAATAACAGGTTAAACTAGTTTGCCAATTTTATTGATCAAATCCAAACACTCAAATTGTACGCTTTTCCACAAAATGTGATTCGAAATTGCCTTCTTTCAGCAATGAAACAGTGAAGGAAAGCGACAACCCATTGTACGAAAGGTGAGTTCGCATTTTATCTCTTCACGAAGCTCAGTTCACCTTCAGTATTTTACTTTAATAAGTCAAGACTGTCTGATCTTAAGGATCGATGTGTGGCACAGGCATGCATGTTTAGCAATATTTCCGGCCACATAGAGGGAGTGGTCAATTCAAATTAAGCTACAATCTTGACCAAACATTATCAAGACAACCTCTTAAAAACACACGGAGAAAATCCATACTTTAAACCCGCTGATGTACACATTACATAAATCAGTAATGTTTGTGTTTTAAAAGTGATAAGCCATTAATGTTGACAGCGGTGGTGGTGATCAGAGGTATGAGTTAATATCCAGTGGGGAAGGTTGAAAGAACTTCGAAACAAAAAACATAATATATGCGTTCTTTCACAGAAGTTTCCTGCAACCAATTTTCCAAGGAGTAATAAACTGAGTTATATGAATCGATCTTTAAGGCAATCCAATGGAAGCGTTCTCGAAATACAGAAACAATAAGAAATATTTTGGTCGCTGATTTTAAAAATAAGGAGCATTCTAGTGTCAAAAAGTAATTCCCATCATTTTCACCACATCTCAGTTACGCATTAGGTAAAACTATCAATCGTTATTCTTTGAAATTTTGAATGAACTCAGAGAAGTAGGAAGATCTTTTGGTTTTCTTTTTCAATTTTAATATTAAATTATTCGTTTATTGAAATTTGTCTTGTCTTTAATCAACAATGAAAGTATGGCCACCTCTGCAAGAAATCCCGTCAAACAAAGTGAAAATCCTCTCTACATAGGCGGGTTAGCCAATGAGTATTCATACTTTATATTTTTTGAAAGACAAGATCAGTTGGTTTGTTTGTTTGTTGTTTTTATTTTCAGTAATTTATAACTGTTTTTTGTTCTCTCAGTGCTGAAAGCGTGAAGACAGCTGATGCAGGAATGTATGAAAGGTAGGGAAGTATTCCTCTCTACCTAACACCAGCCCTGGAACAGAAAACTGCCCCCTAAATCAACCGATCCCAGCATGCGCCGTTACTGAGAGACAAAATCTGAGAGAAACGATTAAGAGGCCTGATCGGAAACAGGAGTTCACTACAGACAGCATATTCCCGATTTTCCACTTAAAAAATACACATTCATCAAAAGTGAACTACGCATTAAAAAGCAAAACTACCAAATGATTACATCAAATGAAACGTACATAAATTAAATAACATTATACCAAGATCGTTCTTCTTGTGACAGTCTTTCATTGAGTAAACCATAACTGCATTCAAAGGTCATGGTTCCTATCAACTGCCCCCTCCCCTCCCCCCACCCTCTATGGCTTCAAATACTTTTTTTTTTTACTGTTGTTCTCAAACTTTTTTCAGTTTGGATCAGCCTGACCCAAATCGTGATGAGGGCATCTACAGTTCACTGTACGAGAGGTATCTATCATAGATTTAAGTTAAGTGTTTGCCAATATCCCAACCTACCATAAATCCTCTGGTAAATCACGGACCAATTGCAATGAGTGTCCCCATTTATGAACGTCATCCAGGCACATGGCGGCAAATTATAACAAATAATTTAAAATATTAGAATTTACGAAGTTCTAAGGTACTTGGTAAAATTTCTGGTTTGCTATGAAGACGAAAAGTCAACCTTAACGCTTTCCTTTGGCGATTTGTAAGGATTCATAAATACTTCGGAATACTGAGCACCGAAAAAAAATCCTGCCATTTGCCCAAAACTGCATTGCTTTAATCTGTTTTCTTTCATTTATTGAATAAACTACACAGTGAAAGTTTCAAATAAGATTAAAATGTTATTCTCATTCTTTTGCATTTTAGGATGCCTTTAACTTGAAAAAGTTTCAAGGAGCCTGTTACAAGGAATGACATCTCTTACTACTATATGTAACTTTTTGTTATGTTAATCTCTACAATCAAAGACAAGAAGATTTGCAGTACAACTGCTAATTATTCATTAATTTAAGAGAAGCAATTTGTTTCACAGAAACATGTAATCAGCCCCTAAACAAATAGAGGCATGTGTCGTTGTATAATCGCCTTTGCAGCCGCATTTTGGTCTCGTCACACAATGCCCTCTTTCCCGCGTTGCGTGACAAGATCAAACAATGCCTCGCAAGGACACTGATCATCTTTTCGATCTCGCTCGACTCTCTGATTGGATGTCCAGTCTCAGTAATTGTCCTGATGTAGTATCCACGCTGTTTGCGTAAAGGAAAAGGAAATAATCAATCACGTTGTTGGACCGTTCATAGAGATAATTTAACTCTTACTGTCGTTGATCAGTATTTTATACTGTCAAGTGCCGCCCTCGAAAAACAAAGTTTATTATTATTATTATTATTATTATTATTATTATTATTATTATTACGACTGAAACCCATGCCACGAATTTGCCAAACGTAACATACAGCAAGGAATGTCCGCGCTCTTTAATCTCATTTTCTGTTCTGTGGTTTTATAATAACATGGACTCGTAGACTCTTTATCTTAAGGAGCAATAGCTGGCGTGGAACATTTTGGCAGGTATAAAATTGGTAACAATTGAGGAAAACAAATACGAAAGTATTTACCTTTTGACAAAATCAGCTCCGATAATATCATAGACATGGTATCTTATTCCAAGCTTGGAATGAGAATCAAATTTACGGGTGAGAAGATCCTGTTTAAGACCAAACGCAAAACAGAGTAAACCCAAGGACATACAAACACATGTAAGCTATATACCTGCATATCGTTTTGGACTGACTTAAAAGTCCAAAGGATGAGTCAATTCCACGCTTTCACTAATCAAGTTATGGTGATTAAAAAGATATTTACGATAGAAAAACCCAAAAGCAAAACAAGGTGAATGAACCCAAGGACATGCATATACAAGTACGCTATAACTGTACATCATTTCGGACTGCCTTGAGTCCAATGGGTGAGTTAAAGGCAAAGGAAGTTTCTAAGCCGTTCCTGACCTAACAAAGTTGTGATGATTTTAAAAACATTATAACAGACAAACCCAACAATTAAGAAAACCAATAATATTTCTTTGAATTTAGCGCAATGGCCTAGCAAAACAAATGTACTTGGGCACAACAAAATTTGATGTCAACGTATGATCTCAAAGGTTCATTGAAAATATTGAAAATAATAGTCATGTATTAATGATTTAATATGCTTCATCCCTTAACTATATTTTTGAGAGTTTGTTTGTTTGTTTTCATCTGCATTTTTTCTGGTATGGTTATTATTCTGTTAGCCTATTCTTATAAAGGTCTGTCTTTGTAAGTATGCATGCATATTCTAGGAAAACCCAATTCATCACAAATAAAATAGTAGTTAAGAATACAATCACATTGTTTTTTTACTCATTTCTGCTTTTAATTATGAGCAAAACTCCCAGGATTAGTCTACTAAGCATTTCACTGCACCCTTGCAGCAGTACAATGATTACATGACTATTTTGTTGTGATAAATTTCCGCATGCTGTGCTCTGAGGGGTGAAAACGCTTTGTGTTCAAGGGTAAAAAAGGACTGTAAGCTACATGTATGGTAAGCTGAACTTTTGATTGTTTCTGCAGTTACTATCTTTCAAGTTTTCCCCTTAACCCTTTAAACCCTAGGAGTGATCAGTATCTAATTTCTCCTCACAGGAATACTGCTATAAACCATTCATTAGGATCATGAGAATAAAGGAAATGATCGCCAACCTAAGAAGCTTTGATCTACAAATGAATTCTCCTTGTCAGAACCAAAAGAAAAATATGGAGAAGAGTTTGGAGAATATGGATACTGATGTTAGGGTCTAAAGGGTTAATGTCTTTTAAGCTCTGGCTGCTTTCTGCATGCTAATTGCAGCTTTGCAACGGAAAAGAGCACAGTCAAGGCCTTTTCATGATTTTACTTTCTTTTTAACAAATAGTTAAAATACTATTATAGTTTTGGAGAAAATTACATAAGGAAAGGAGAAAATTGATCAAGCATTTTAACATACCTTCTCAAGAATCTCCCGATATTTCCTCTTTTTGAACATTTGAATAAGAGCTTTTCTTCCTTAAAAGAAAATCAACATTTGTTACAACATTAAATTTAACAGTTTTATGGCAAGTCTTGAGTTACATCCATGTAAATAAATATCAGTGATGACAATAGTACCAATAAGAGTAATGTCCATAATAGTAATGTAAATAAAAACAATAAGAAGTAAAGTAATAAAACTAATGCACAGGTAGAGTTGACCTATTTTTTTTCCTACACAAAAATTTGTTTATTGAGAAAATTACTGTCAAGTAACCAGAAGCTAATAAAATTCTGGCAAGTTCTGTTGTACATGTTCCTCATGTGAGGCCTTTAACCTTATAACTCTTATTAGTGAACAAGACAGAATTTCTCTTCACAATATCAACTCGATATCAAGCAGAAAAATGATGAAAATAAATAAAAATATCAATTAGGGGAGTACTAGTTGATCTAATACCAAATTCTCCAAACTAACATCATAGGGATTTTATGGCAACCATTAAGGAGAATTATTAATGAGATCTAGACACCAAAAGCATATTCAAGAATAGCTCGTGGAGATACTGTGACACTTAAATGGGGTGAGTAATGCAAATAACACACATCTCCCATAGTAATTCACTTTCATAAATTAAAATAGAAAACATTTTCCCTTTACCATTAGAGAAGTTTTTCATAAAGATTCCTGCACCAGGGATGGATAGCCACCAACTTCCCACATCTCTGGTTGTAAGGATACCAATGTTGACCAGTTGCCTATAAATCACACCAAAATGCACATGAAATAATACAAACTTCACAAATAAAGCATGGGCTGTGCCGTACGAACCCCATGTTGTGACTCAAGTCCCAGAATTTTCTTCCCATATTTAGTATTCTGTTTCAACTACACTTGTGTTCAGAGGAAACCTCTGGATGTATCGCGCGGACAGAGGAGGGCAATAAAACTGAGCGTTTTTCATAAAAAAAAGCCTGTGTTGGCTGAGAAGCTTTAAGACAATTCTAGCTATTTTTGTAATTATTTACAGAGGTGGATTACTTTCTCCACTTTTCGTAAAACGCTAATTCGACAATTTGTTTCCTAGCAATTAGAGATTAACCATTGTTGTGCAATGTATGAAACCTGACATGCTGTATCAAGCGGACGCTAGCAAGCTTAAAAGTTCCGAAGGTGTCCATTTAGTTCGTGTTTCACTGTGAAATTTTCAAAAGCCACAAAACTCCAAGCGAGAGTTAAACAAATTGATCACTGTACTCATTTCCTTACTTTTTAATGATTTTTGTGTTTTGATTGAAGTATGCAGAATAAGAACCTTTTTACATTGGAAAGCTGTGGCCGAGATGATACAAAATGTTAAAAAAAAATTAAGAACATATTTCGGGCCAAGAGTCAGCATCGAACGTATTCAATTTGCTTTTTTTTTTTTTTAATGTTCATTGTTTTTTCTGTGCTTGTGTTTTTTCTGCTTTATTTTCCAATGTTTTGTGTAGTTTCTTTGGGATGAGTAGCAAGACTACATGTAAATATATGTGAAAGTGTAATGTAACCAGCTAACAGGAACAACAATCCATATTTACGTGATTTATTGTTTCGTATTTCGTATGTTGTTTTTGTTTGTTTGTTTGTTTGTTTGTTTTAAACTTTGACAATTTGGTATTCTTATTGTGTGATAGATCGTGGATCATCTAATTTTGAAGTTGTACAATTCAACTTTGTTTTTAGAACTTTAGATATCCGCTCACATCTGTATTGATTTATGTTAACATTATCATTGGGAAATTACAAAAAAATTAAGAACAGCCAGTTTCAGTTACAAAACAGGACACGTTTGTAAATTCGATTGCAATTTCATGCTATAACATTTCTGTAATTTACGTAAGGGCCTAATTGGGCCTTAATCTGTAAGGGCCTAATTGGGCCTAAATCTGTAAGGGCCTAATTCTAGAAGATCTTTGATCAGCTTGTTTTAGCACTGCATGCTTCATGTTTTGTTGCAAGGTTGTCAGGATAACAACATGCTTTGTTCGTATTGGGCATCAATCGGTGAATGTAAAAAGAACCCAAACTACATGGTATACAGTTGCCGCAAGAGTTGTAACGCTTGCAAAGGTAGGCATAGTTAGTTACGACACATTGTGGTAAATACGTACTCTTAGATCTAACCTACAACCTTGAAAGGTATGATCAAATTTTAATGAAGAGACACAGAAATAGACTCTATGCATGTTTAGGCGTCGGAACCCAGTTTCTGACGAATGTACCACCAAGACACTGACAAGACTAGAATGCTCACACAAAAGCAACTAAAAAGTGCGGCAAAGATAAATGAAACGCGTGTTAACCGTCGTGTTTCCGCAACGGTTTCACATATTTCATCCAAGTTTCCGTTTAAGAATTCTTGATATTTTGTCCTGTGGTTTCCATCGCACACTTAAGTACTGTAATTTCTATACTCACAATGGTTCTACTTTGTACCTTTTTTTAACACCTCAGTTTACTGATAGCAACTTTTTATATATATCTCATAAATACTTTATCCACGAGTTGGCCAAAGGCGCCCTTTGATTTTTATCTTCATATGCTTACAGAGTTCCTTTATATACTAGATCTGTTCTTTTGATTTTGGTCCTATTGCTTTTAACATAATAGCTCCCCCACCCCCTTAATTCAGCGCCCTCCTTGAAGCGTCCCTCCTCTACGCCGAAATTTCAAACTCGCGACCAGGCGCTTATTCAGAAATACGGTGTACGGATAACTGATGATATTTTCTCATTTCAGCTTTTGGCAATTCCGTCAAATGGCCGTCGGGAAAATACGGTCTACCTATGACTAAATCTGGTTGTCCTGGGGCTGACGGTTTCTCTTGGGAGACCGGATATATCTATCAAGATTTGGAGGATGACAAAAGCCTTACGGCGAAATCTCCAAACTTTCACCTTAATGCTTCAGTACTGAGTTCGGGAGATGTTACTCAAAGCTTCTGCTTCAAGACAATTACGACCGGTGCTGTTGATAACGGTCGATTTGGTTGGACTTACGGTCAATACTGCGTTTATAAAAAAGGCTCTTCATGTCCAGGCTATCTACGAGAAGGAAGCGTCTTGTGGGATGATGAAAACGGGAAACATGGAATAAATTTGAATTTCAAATCTGGTACTGTCCCTGCTGGAACGTACAAATCAGATACTGAGATAAGGTTTTGTTGTCAAGATGTTGGATCGTACAGCGAACCTATCGAGCTGCCAATAGACAAGCCTTTCTATCTGATAGCTTTTAACAGTAGGAACTGCCAAGAAGTTTTGAAAACAACACATACGTTGGAGTATATACTGTATGACACAGAGAATGATCACAATCATAACCGCGCGGTCTATTCTTATCCTTTTGGTGCGGATCTTCAAAATCCCTACATTTATTATTGCTATTACCAAGGTAAGCGATGGTTTTCTGGGTTATTTTTGCTTAAGGAAATCTAGACAGACTGTATGTAAAATTACAAAACTTGTAGACTACTTGGGACTGAGACATTGAATCCCTTTCTAATGGCCAGTTCCATGACCTAATGATGATTTGTGCCCAACTAACTTATGAGGCCGAGGAAGTGAGTTTAAAGAGCTTGGGTTCGCACCTAGTTCTACTGGGTTGTGATAAGCTTGCTGCATGGTGCTTAACCATAGAACTGGGTGTAGTGGAAAATTCGAGTACAAAAAACTAAATGGAATATTTAACAATCTTCATTCCCAACCTTCTTGGCAAGCCACCAAAGTTAGAAGAAGAGAAAAACTTCCTGAAAGCTTTGATCAGATTAAACTTTTAATGCTGTTTCCCCAATCACGGGAGGAAAAAACGGGTTCAAAAACGATTTTTTTATGGGCGTTGTGCATAGTATCTATACTACCGTGACTCTGAAGATAAAGGACCTCGCATGGTGGCATCAAAGTTCCTCTGCCCATTCATGGGTACATAACTGTGCCGTGAAACTTCCACGAAAAATTGGCAAATTGTTAGAAGTAGCCTGTTATGTTCTACATTTCGTACGGGGGAGTAGCTTTAATAATCCTTGATGTTTCATGTTATGAAAAGCGGGAAAACTTCTGGTAGTGTTACAGTTATGTGACTTGAGGAAATGGTTGTCGGTCAAAGAACGTCTCACAAGCTGGTTCGATTCATTTCCACGTATTTTCTTTGCAGCGTGTAGACGGACCTTAACAGCATTGAATGGTTCCTTCTCAAGTCCAAACTATCCATCTCCATATAAGGAAAAGGCCTGGTGTGAGTGGCATATCAATGTCCCCTGGAACTACATAATTTCATTGACATTTGTTGACTTCCGTTTGGAAACGAGTGATATGTGTCTCTTTCAAAGCTGTGATTGCGACTATGTAGAGATACACGACAACTTTCCAAATGGAACGTCTGAACTAACAGGGAAATACTGTATGGGTGTGGCGTATCCGCCTGGGGATATCCGGTCAAAAACCAATAACGTTACAGTTACATTTACCTCAGATGGTACTGTCCAAGACGTGGGTTTTAAGGCTGAATATCATGCTCTCCAGCTCACAAGTAAGAATAGTAGATTGCTCTTTATTATAAAAGCTGTCAGCAAGGCTCTCCCCAAATGGTCGATGTTATGATAGTGATCTGGGCATTTGAATTAGTTTGCTTGTTACAGAATTAAGATTTGATCTTGTATTAGTAAGTGTCTTGTTTCTGTAATGTTTTAGATTCGCCTATTTAAGAATATAGCAATTGACAAAGGCCATCAATCACACACACGCAAACTTACGTTAATTCTGTATTTCGTTTTTCCTCAACAAAGTACCAACAAGTACGGGGAGAACAACGGATACCACGCAGAAAGCGACGTCAACCGACATCACTTCTGTCAGTCCTACCACAGTTCCGATTACTGGAGCAAATTCCAGAGGCACAACAAGTGGAAATGATAAGTCTCCTACTGACGGAAATACAGCAACACTTACTTCTTTAAGCAACAACAGCAAAATTACAACTGGTACAACAATCACACCAGCTAAAGAATCCTCTACAGAACAATCAACCCTAACAACGCGCTCAAGTAGGCATTCAACATCGCAAAAAGCATCCTCAGTTCATACCAATCCAAACGGATCGTTTACCTCCCCATTTACGAACATACCTGTGACAACACTACCAATCATAACTGAGGTGCCTCCAAGAACAAGGCCGCGTGAAACCACCCAGAGAACTTCAACCTCAAGGGTAACGAGTGGAGAACTCTTTCCACTAACCGAATCAAGGAGTAAGGGGGAACCGAGAAACTCGAATGGAGAAACCGAACAGAAGGCTGAATACAAAAATTCAAGAGCATCGGGGAAAGTTCCCATCATTATTGCTTTGATAGCTTCGTTGGCTGCTTTAGCTGTGGTGGTAACAGTAGCACTTGTTTGTCTCCGTAGAAACTGGTATGGATAATCGATGACCTATCGCAAATTAGTCGATAACTGATCGCACAGTGACCATGACTTCTCATTACAATGAAAGAAGTTAAGCGTAACGATCAGAGTTCAAGGCATAATCATTTGGGGTCAGTTCTGACGCTAATGTTTCAACGGCAGTTTTGAGACATACCACGATGTAATACCTTCACAGATTTCCTATCTTTATTAAAAGAAAAATAGGTGTGGACTTCCATGAAATATCTTAGGCCTTTGAGGGACATCAAACCAGTTGAGAATCTTAATAAATGGCAGATCCCTTGACGATGCAATGTTTGACACTGCTTTTGGGTGCGACAAAATTTAAGGGAAATCGGAAATTCACAGCCGAAACACCTGTAAGTCACTCTGAGACGACGAGGCCTCCTTGTAGAGCACTAAACCTCGCCGAGATTGATTGCAATTGACTATGAATCGCAGTCAATACACTTCGCTGCCTTACAAATCAGGCGATGTCCTACGAAGAAGGTGGGCACTTGAGATGCCCTGTAGTATTGGCGAGCCCTAACACAGCTGAAGTCAGCGTTTAAGCGAGTCGATTCTCTTGTTTGCTTCCTAATTCTCCTAACACTGATGTGACATTACGGTGTAAATTTTCGTCAAAAAATCGGCAGCAAGCACAGCTACTAAAAACCAGCCAATCACTGCGGAGCATAGTTATTCTTAAGTGGACAGGTAACCAGTCGATCTAATTCTCTGCAGAAAACTGGCGGTGTACAGTCGTAACGTCGAGGAAGTATGTACAAAAGAAAATAAAATCCTTGTAGATCTGTAGGTAATGTTTTCTGTTACCAGTTTCAGCAGAGAAAATGAGAGAGGAGAACGCTTCACCAAGGAAACGTTGACAAAGAAGGAACAATTTAATATTTTATACGATAACAGGTACGACTATTTTTCTAATATTAAAAGTGTTTAAGATACCTAAAGCATACCCGAGAATAGCGATTCCTTGAGGTGATGAGAATTTTTTGTTTTGTCTTTTTCAAAACAGGGATTTTATGGATTCCTATGACCAGTTTGCGGATGATGACGAGATCAAAGAGAGTGACAATCCGCTCTATTGCAGCAGGTCAGAAATGCACTAGTACTGTCCCTAACCATAAAAGATCTTTAATTTGGTAACATCATAGATAGTTTTAATGGACCAAATAGCTTAATTTTTGCCACGTATTAGTCCAGCTTCATGTGTTTGTCAACGATGACGTCCCAGTGTGCCTCATCATAGATAGTTTTGATGGAGCAAACAGTTTATTTTTGCCATGTGTTAGTCCAGCTTTATGTATTTGTCAAAGATGATGTTTCTGTAAAGTATGAACAAAAAGAGGCTATTATGAAAAAAATAGGCTCGAGGTGAATCGTAAATGTGACAGAACCCCAAAGCAATCCTCCAAAGAAATCTTGAAGGATGAAGTACACATTAACCATACTTATAAAAATTATGAAATCAGTGAGAATCACCGGAAACGCTTTTTTGCGGTGCGTTTGTTCACTATTAAACGATACATGAAGCCAAAACGGAAAAACAGGTATTTAATGTGAACACTTGCCTATCAATACCGTGGCACGGGCTCGATTCCTGTACTTAGCATTACTAGTGGGTTACGTTGCCTTTGGTTCTCGCCCTTAAACCCACGGTGTTTCTGTAGGCTTACTGCTTTTCTGCCTTCCACAAACTGAGTCAACTATCCTAATTCTAAAGAATTAGGATAGTGACAAAGAAGAGCTATTTTGTAAATGCGCGCGGCTTAATTTGATTTATTTTAATGCTTTATCAAAAGTGTAGTATATATAAGAGTCGAGCTAGTGTGCCGCTGACCAAATACTCTGTGATCTGCAAATAGTAAAATAGAGCCATACTCACGTTTCCAATTCTCTTATCACCTTCAGCATCGAAACTGGACAAGACGAAAAAGAGAACATTTTGTACGAAAGGTAAATACCTTAAACAATTATCACAGCTGTTCTGTTCTTCTAGTTAGTTTTTTGGCGTGGCATGACTTGAGTGATTATCTCGTTCCAGCATGGATGATGTTTTACAAAGTGTAGAAGAGGCTGAATGCATCAATCCGGTGTATGAAGGGTCAGTGTTCCATTATCAGTTCTAAACGTAGCCTTGGTTTTGCTGCCATGCATGATTGGGGAGGAAGTTGCGTTGTAAGAGAATACTTGGATACATATGCATCCTACTAGAACCTCAGTTAATGATATAACATAATATTGATCTATAAAAATGTTTCTTCTTTACATCGAGAACAAACTTATCGCACTTGTTTCAAGCTGGGTTTCGCTACCTTATACGGGCAAAGATTTGTCACGATCATACTCATACAAGACATTGTATAATCTCTTGCTCTTTATAGACCTTACGCAACGATTCAACCATGCAGTAGTAACATCATTCATTTCATTGGTTTAAACAGGAGATCATACCTTATTGGTCCGAGGTTGAAATAAAAAGTCATTCAAGAGTAAATTTCATCATGTGAAATTATTTCAATAAATACATTTTTTGATGTTAATAAGTTAAACAAAAGCGCAATTAAAGGGAAGGAAAGAGTAATTAATAACATTTTTAAACTGCCATTTTTTCTCTCGATTTCAGGATGGTCTAATATATGTGTGACGACTGTGGACTGAAAGTATACTTCGTTGATTTTCAATTTTTAGGCTTTCCGCAAGATAATAGACGCGTTGATTGAACTTAAATTTGCAAGTGCAAAACAGCCATGGTGTGGTCAGACAATACTTTTTCAAGACTTCATAATCAGACATGTTTCAATAATGTCCATTTAGATAAATCGACGTTGCTTATTGGAAACGTCTTACTTACAAACAAAGAATCTGATCCTGAGTGGAAGGCACTTGAAGCTTGTGAGCTAAATCTCATAGCAACTATACCTAGCCCTAAATCATAACCAAGCAAGCAATGAACGGCTATGTCAAGGCTAATAGTTGGGTGTCATTATTAAGTATGCCACAAAGCCAAACGTTGAAAGCAAGGCAAATTCTAATCGGTTTTTTATTCCCTCGTAAAGGAATCTCTTCAGTCACAAATAAGTTGCAATTCATACTTTCACCTTTAAATAAGGTAACAAGGAAGGAATCGACCACTCCGTCGTCAACTACAGGATAACAGTTAATCGCCGATGAAACTGATCTTCTAGTAAAGAAAATTATAAGACTTGCAATACACCCTTTTTTCGGTCAAAATGGCAACAGCTGTTGATGTTTTTATCAGCCTTGCGTTAAGAGAGGCAACGGGCTGTACTTTGTCTGGAGAAGGGAGATAGAAACGCCACCGTTTTGCTTCAAGGCACTAGATTATTCTGATCACCTAAGTCTTTACCGCAATTCCTACATGAGTGATGTTTTCATATACAACTGAAGGTGGACCAGCTAAAGAAAGTGTTCCTTTAAGAACATGGAGAAAAAAAAATCGGCAGTAACGAATAAAGCACTAAAGAGAAAAGAATCTTTGTCTGAAAACTTCCGAAGAGGAAAAATTAAATTTTAATTAACCGAGGTGAGGTGTTTCTTCGCCCTCCGGGCCGATTTCATATCATCACCACGCGAAAATGACACAAATTACTCTACTGAATATGTTTAACATTTCAACACTCCCATAGAGTTTTTAGCTTGTGATACGACTCCCTGCTATCTGGAAAAACATAGCGAACAATACATATTACGGTGATAGCCAGATAGTGGTCATGCTACCAAAGGGGAAAACATTTTCAAATTCAAGTTTCTGCACGTTTGGCCCAAATATGACAACCAGTTTTATTATAAATTCTCCTGTATTCAATTTCAAAGTTCATCCCCATATCGAATTGATTTGAGTTAACATGTGTCAAACCTAATTCTTAAATCCATTTATATATCCCACTTACTTGGTAAAATCTACCTAAACTCGTCCTCTTATCGATAGTTCTTTATTCAAATTTCACACTGATCTAATTTGATTAACAAACTGCACGCAGCTCGTCTTTGAAATCAGCTTTGGCATTGTTCAGAATTGAGACATGACGGTTCTCGCGACATCGAAATATGTAATTTCGCATTTTGTAATAGTTTGATTTCGTCGAAAACACAAGATCAAGTTCCCAAATTCAATTAAATTAACGAGGATAAAATTGTCACATTCCTGTCATTTAAACACAATGCGGAAATTGTCAGAAGATTTAATAGTTTGCTTTGACGCGTGATAAGAATACTCGAAACAAGTCATAAAAAATAGAAAATAAAATTTAAACTCTGTTCTTCCATTGAATATCGATTTTCCATCAAGCCGCAAGGCAATCGATTAAAATTTGATCAGCCCTGTTAAAGGACAGAACGTCAGTGAGGCCGGGACATTTAAGGACGTGATCATTGTGAAGTACTCAAGCTAATTTCCTGTTTACTTTGCTTATGTAATAACAAGGTCACGCATGAATCGTATGACTGTGACCAACCTCGATCGCGAAGAGAAGAAGCTGTCATCGATCGATAGGGTCAGCTCGAGTGAATAAAATTGCAGTTACCTTCAAGCCTGGGTAAATAGATTTTAACCAACGAGGAACCGATGGGAAAAAAACACAAAACATGGTTCGCACTTTGTTGATTTCACGACTTTTACACGTTCTTCCCAGAACGGTAGGATTTCTGTGTCTCAGCTGTCTTGCTTTAGAAGGTATGTGCTCAAACTTATTCTCTTTCGTGTTTGACGCGGACGGTGTCAACAACACTGATTTATGTGTTTTTGTATCTAGGGTCTGAATTTTGGATACAGAATTGAAAAATGTATTAACTACGAATTTTGACACGGTAAACTTTGAAAGGCCCGGCATATATCACCGAGCTACGGTAAAATAATTTTCAGGCCATTTATCGAAATTGAAAGCGGCTTATGCGTAGATGTTTCAGTAAAAATCTAAGAATCACTTCTCCCGAGTTTAAGATTTTATCATTATAGAGACAGTGCTTCCTATAGCCGCCCTTAATCGCAAAATTCGATGAGAGGAATTGAAAAAATAATGTGACATTCCTCACAAGATGAATGTTTTCTTCCTTCACAAATTAACTTGGGCAATGAAACCCAGCGGGTAGTACCGTGCTGAAAAAAGCACAGACGCATTAATTTCTGATTATGCAAATTTCAGCCACCTAACTAATCAATATTTGTCTCGCAAGAATGGCCTCCGTCTAAATGCTCTCAGTTGTATCATAAAACAGGGCGACGTGATTGTCGTAAAGAGCGTAATTTTCACATTCGTCGAGCTTCTCCACCATCGAGCACAATGTTCAAAGTTCTTCATACCTTTACAACAACAACAACAAAAAAAATTCAAGTATCCCCTGCAAGAGTTTGCCACAATTCCCTTCGAGACAGTGAAAATAAATCCGCAGGGGTTTTCAACTATTTATGTAAGTTCGGGATAGGTTGAACAGAAATCGACTCGCAATTTTAGCTCTGAAATAAGCTAAACCTTTATCTTAATTCTCCACAGTTTGCTGTACCGCATTATAGCCGTCAGGAATGTATGGACTACCCATGCCAAAAAGTGGCTGCCCAGGGGCAAATGGATTTCAATGGCAAACAGGATACATCTACCAGGATCTCGAGGACGAGGATAGTGTTACTTCTGTCTCTCCGAATACTCAGCTCAAAGGCCGGGTCTCGGGTGATGTCGATATGTATTTCTGCATAAAGGACAACATATCAGCAACAGTCGAAAGAAATCGATCCCGATGGCCTGCGGGGGAGTACTGCATCTATCAGAAAGGCTCTGATTGTCCAGATGGACTGCAGAGTGGGTTTATATTATGGGATGACGAAAACGGTGCTGGCGGAATAAACAAAAACGCCCATGCCGGCGTTCTTCCAAGAGGAGTATTTGATAACGACACAAAGATATTCTTTTGCTGTAAGACCACCAATAACGGATATAAAGAGCCAATAGATCTTCCTTTTGCGTCTCCCTTTTACTTGATGGCGTTTAGACGGCGTTGCCAAGAAGTTCTGTACACCATACATAAGATGGAATACATTACATATGACACAGAAGATGATCATAATATAGACAAGAAATCGTTCCCATATCCCTATGGAGCTGACTTCTACGTGCCGAAAATACGTTACTGTTACTATAGAGGTAACAGGCTCTCTTATCATCAAGTTGTGGTTTGTAGCAACTAGTAATGATAAAAAAACATCTGATAGGCTGGAGCGCTCACGCAGAACCAAGTCGAGAAATGAAGCTTCAAATTATGCTTGCTACACCTGCGACAGGTTACGAATTTTTGCAAATGTCGTAGTCTGTATGGCAGTCTTTTCCCTGTCCTTTACACAAAACAGGAAAATGGAGTAATGCAAAGGCGTGGGGCGAGATCCATATGTATACGCTTGCTACCCACTTGGGTCAAGCTTCTCATGCTAAAAATTGCTGAAAGGAAACAAACGGAGTCAGAGAGGGACGGATATGCGTCCCTCCTGTCTGTTGTCAGCTCTCTTGTTGGATTGATTTTGAAGGCCAACCACTCAGTTTCCATCCTACAATGCCACTAATATTTCATCTTCGGAATAAGGCCTGGATGTTCACGCTTGTGTGACCCGATCGGTTTTCGACTTTCTTACCTTATCTCCTTCCTCCATAAGCCTGCCTGTAACGATCCGAAAGAAAAAAAATTAGTTTTTTTTTTAGCTCGAATAGATCAACTGAAGGCCGTCATCGACACGAAATGCTCGTAATGACAGTAAAAGGCAGTTGTCTTGTAAACGAATCCTCCAAACCCGAACCTCACTTAATAAGGCAATGTTCGATGGATGTGGTCTATCAATCTAAGTGTACCGTAATTTTCAAAAGGGAAAACGGCTTAAGACTTTCTATATGTTAAAACGCTAACGTTAGGGACTCAATACAATATTTTAACCCTTCAACGTAGTAGACTTCACTGGGCGACACCCTTAAACATCGGGGTAGAATTATTGGTCAATGTTTACATATTTTTTCACAACTTAGTTTTCCTTACATTCGAACAGAGTGCACACAGACAATGACAGCACTGAATGGCACATTCCACAGTCCATACTATCCAAAAAACTATAACAACAAGGCCTGGTGCAAGTGGCATATTGAAGTCCCTTGGAATTACGTTATTCTGATCACTTTTGATGACGTCACATTACCAGCAATCCGAGACATTTTACTCCCGCGGTCCGCGAGGTCAGTAGTTTCTTCAGGTTCTACTGTTCATGCGCTATGGCGTCAGATTTCATGTAAACATGGAGCGAAGTAGATTTCCGCGGAGGAATCGAGTTGATTATAAAGCACTAAATGTTCTTTCTACAGTGGATTTAGAAGTTCATTTGAAAGGAAGGAGAAAATTTAAAAGCGGATCTAAAGTTTATTTTGTGGAGAGACTTATCAGCCGGCGAAGATTGAAGAACGAGGTATGTGTATTGACCCTTTTATGTTCCTGCAGCTATATTTTACTTCGGATGAAATTTATACTACAATCGAAGTAAGTTCATAAACAGCTCTATCTCGCTATTCGAGATTCTTGAACGCATTGCTGTTTTATATAAGAAAGAGGAGATTCAGTGACCTTAAGTTGAAATTCTAGGATTTCTTTTCGAAATCGAGCAAAACATCAGACATTTTTGACGATTCAGACTGGAATGAGCTCACAGTGATACAAGTTTTGTTTTTTATAATTGGCGCGATTTGGCGCTTGTAGGAGTCTGCAGATTGTTAAAACAGCGGTAAAAGCGTGGAAATGCTAGGCTGCTAAGCTGAAGTAAATATGGCGACTTTTTTCACGAAGAAAACGATGGAAAGTGGTCGTTCTTCGCGTCCTACAGGACATTCGCGAGCTCAGGTAAAGGTTACGTCTAATAGTGAAAAAGCCCTATTTTCAAGATTGATTTGCGGCCTCCTATTTTATCATGGAAGGCTTTATTTAACGTATTTGAAAGATCGTAAACTGAAGAAAATTTTGAGGGGTCGGCACCGATGAAAGCATGAAACACACGGACAGCTCAAAGCATGGAAGTGAAGGTAAGTGAAGGTATTTGGATGAAACTATAAAGGAAGTACAACCGAAGATCTTTGTTATTTTACCTCTATTCCGCGGCTCGACGAATAAACGAAACGGTGAAAAAACTTTCGCTTCGTAGTGCAGTTGCATATTATTTATCAACGAGAGGTCGGCACGTAGAATTTAATTTATTTAAACTGCCAAAAAATAAGATTTTATTTCAGATCCCATACATTTCTTTGTATCTTCGGGAAGCCATTTTGAAAGTAATCTTTGATTGACGTACGGTATTTGAGACGCAATATGACTCGCATTGCTGGTAATGGTTTAGAGTGGATTTGCTGTTGGTGTGACTTTGTCAACGTGTGGGAAACATCAATGAACGGAACAACAACTTTGATTGGTTCAGTCTGCGACATGACAACGCCTCAATTAAATTCCACTGGTAACAATGTTACAGTTATTTTTCGATCAGATGATACTCTGTCAGGCAAAGGATTTCGTGCCAGGTACCAAGCTATAAAGATTGGGGGTAAGCCTAAAAAAACCTCAAACATTTAGACATCAGATAACTTTCATAGCTACATTTGACTCTCTCGAAAAAGGGTGATGTCTTTGTACGCTTTAATTTTCCAGGTTATTTGCCTTTTGATAAAGCGATTGGAGACGGATGTGCTTACGAAAGGCAAAAGTATACAGTAGCCTTAACATGAAACTGAGGTTTTGATATGATTTCTAAGGCTTAACTTAAAAACCATTGACGAAAATACGTTAAAAAGAAATGGAATTGTCAGTGCGTAGCATGGAGTGACCTCAAGGTTCATAGAAGTCCCGTCTTTTTGAGGAAAAGGTTATAAATACCTCACACTAACCGAGTTGATGGTTCATACTTAAGTTTTCTCCGCTGCGATTTGCTCTTTGGCCACGAAAGTCATAACTTTTTTGAAGTTACTTCGGGGAAGGGAAGGGGTAAAATGAGAGATTTTGTCCACATAAACAGTTTTCTACTTTAACGAGCTGCTCAGTAGAGTACAGCTCGCAAAATTGACCGATATAAGAACACGCAATAACTGTGATGATAGCTATTAGTTTAAAGCGAATATGCAATCTAATCAGAATGTCACAATCTGATTGGCTACGCTACCCGCTATCTATTGCGTAATAGAGAGTAAGTAGAGTGACTAGCATAACAGCAAGCGGTTGCAAACATAATAACAAAAATATGCGCTTGGGTTGTTGTTACGTTTTAAATAACTAGACGATTTTACTTTAAAAAATACTTCAACATTCACTCTCGATTTTTATACTGAATAGTTCAGTGATTCGGGCTTTGCCCACATGAACACTATAACGTGATAGAAATCTTATAATCAAGTACAGCGTAGTTTAACCAATTAGTGGAAGATAAACTGACATGCCCCCAAATAGCAATAAGCTGGGCTACGGATCCTATTCTAGAATATTCTGTATATGCCACAAACATAAAAATATGCTACTTTTCTTAACACAGCAGCCAAAACAACTACTAGCACAACCCTTGCCTCAACTCAGACAAACATGGTCAAAGAGAAAGTAATCACAACGTCATCAAGCGAAGAGACCACTCAAGAGATATCTTCTACAAGAGAGAGCAAAATCAGCTCTCAAGAAAAAAAAGATCCCACCTCCATGACGAGAGGAGAAGGTTTGTCTGACACCTTGGACGATGGAAGAGAGTCTGAGTCAAACACCTCCCTAATTGCTGGATTGACTGCAGCTTTGGTAGTAATTTGTGCGATACTCGCAATAACTTTGTTTTGTTTTCACAAAAAGCGGTAAGTTCAACTTTTTGTTATCAATACTATATCCTTAACCCTTTACCTCCCATGGGTGACTAAGAAAGAATTTTTCCTTACAATATAAATACAATATCATGTGTAGAAGTGATGAGAATAAAGAAAAATATCAATTAGGGGATTATAAGTTGATCCAATATCAAATTGTTATCATGAGAATTGTTAAGCAGACAGTAAGGATAATCACAATAAGATCTTGGGAGGTAAAGGGTTTGTTTAAGCAAACAGTAAAAATAATTACGTTTTCTCATTTAAAATTATGAAGTGCCAATGTGGAGTTTTTCCAACTTCGCAAGCGTACATAGCAAGTCGTATAGGAATCTCTCGTAATTTACTATTCTGATCTCATTTTGAACTCAACTATCGATTGTGAATAGCACCTTTTGTGTGAGCTAGATGTACGGAATATCTTTACAAAAGTTCGCACACAGTTAGTGAATCAAACTATTTGTTTCATCCAGTTTTTCTGTTTTGGATTTTCAAATTTATTGCAGACGTAGTAGGGAAAATCAAAACAACCGGAACACACCTGCAGTGAGCTTTCGACTGGACGAGAAAGCAGTCGCCATTTACGCCACCCCAACGGATGTGTGTAAGACGAGGTAAAACCTGTGAAAGTTTGTGGCCAGGGTTACAATTTGACATTTCTTTGTCACTGATGGTCGTGTTACTTCTACTTCACTACCTACATCTACCGTAAATCCTAAAATTGTCGCGCCCGGTGAGCCTTTTTTCAAAGTCAGGTTGAGAGGGAGCAACGGGGCTTGTAACATGTGTGTGTATATGAAGAATATTATCAAATACATGTTTGTTTTTTTGTTTTCAGTTCTGGCTATGATGATGAAGAAAATGATAATCGTTACATACGTGTCGACCCGCCTGGAATGTATCATAACAGGTTAATCTATTTTGCCAATTTTACTGATCAAATCCAACTCTCAAATTGTACGCTTTTTCACAAAATGTGATTCCAAATTGCTTTCTCTCAGCGATGACACAGTGAAGGAAAGCGACAACCCATTGTACGAAAGGTGAGTTTGTATTTCATCTCTTCATGAAGCTCAGTTCACCTTCAGTATTTTATTTTAATAAGTCAAAACTGTCTGTGGATCTTAAGGATCGCTGTGTGGCACAGGCATGGTTAGCAATATTTCAGGCCACAAAGAGGAGTGGTCCATCCAAATTAAGCTACAATCTTGACCAAACATTATCAAGACACCCTCCTAAAAACACACAGAGAAAGTCCATACTTTAAAGTCACTGATGTACACATTACATAACTCAGTAATGTTCGCGATTTAAAAGTGATAAGCCATCAATGTTGACGACGGGGGTAGTAATTAAAGAGGTTTAAATTTATATCCAAAGGGGAAGGTTGAAAGAACTCCAAAACAAAAAACATGATATTTGCGTGCTTTCACAGAAGTTTCCGCAACCAATTTTCTAAGGAGTTATAACCTGAGCTATATGAATCCGTCTTTAGGGTAATCGAATCAAAGCGTTCTCGAAATATAGAAGTACTCAGAAATATTTTGGTCCCTGATTTTAAAAATAAGGAGCATTCTAGTGTCGAAAAGTAATTCCCATCATCATCACCTTAACTACATCTCAGTTACGCATTAGGTCAAACTATCAATTAATCACTATTCTTTGAAATTTTGAATGAACTCAGAGAAGTAGGAAGATCTTTGCCTGTATCTAGTTTTGTTTTGTTTTTCAATTTTAATGTTAAATTATTCGTTTATTGAAATTTGTCTTGTCTTTAATCAACAGTGATAGTATGGCTACCTCTGCAAGAAATCCCGTCAGACAAAGTGAAAATCCTCTCTACATAGGCGGGTTAGCCAATTAGTATTCATACTTTATATTTTTTGAACGACAAGATTGGTTGGTTTGTTTATTGTTCGGTAATTTATAACTGTTTTTTGTTCTCTCAGTGCTGAAAGCGGGAAGACAGCTGATGCGGGAATGTATGAAAGGTAGGGAAGTATTCCTCTCTACCTAACACCAGCCTTGGAACAGAACAGTGCCCCCTAAACCGACCAATCCCAGCATGCGTCGTTACTGAGAGACAAAATCTGAGAAACACGATCAAGAAGCCTGCTCTGAAACAGGAGTTCACTACAGATAGCATGTTCCTGATTTTCCGCTTAAAAAATACACATTCATCAAAAGTGAGCTACGCATTAAAAAGCAAAACTACCAAATGATTTCATCAAATGAAACGTTCATAAATTAAATAACATTGTACCAAACTCGTTCTCCCTGCGACGGTCTTTAATTGAGTAAACCGTAACTAGATTCAAAAGCCATGGTTCCTAACAACTGCCCCCTCCCCTCCCCCCACCCTCTAAGGCTTCAAATACTTTTTTTTTTTAACTTTTGTTCTCTAACTTTTTTCAGTTTGGATCAGCGTGACCCAAATCGTGATGAGGGCATCTACAGTTCACTATACGAGAGGTATCTATCATAGATTTAAGTTAAGTGCTTGCCAATATCCCACCCTACCATAAATCCTCTGGTAAATCACGGACCAATTGCAATGAGTGTCCCCCTTTATGAATGTCATCCAGGCACATGGCAGCAAATTATCACAAATAATTTAAAATATTAGAATTTACGAAGTTCTAAGGTACTTGGTAAAATTTCTGGTTTGCTATGAAGACGAAAAGTCAACCTTAACGCTTTCCTTTGGCGATTTGTAAGGATTCATAAATACTTCGGAATACTGAGCACCGAAAAAAAATTCTGCCATTTGCCCAAAACTGCATTGCTTTAATCTGTTTTCTTTCATTTATTGAATAAACTACACAGTGAAAGTTTCAAATAAGATTAAAATGTTATTCTCATTCTTTTGCATTTTAGGATGCCTTTAACTTGAAAAAGTTTCAAGGAGCCTGTTACAAGGAATGACATCTCTTACTACTATATGTAGCTTTTTGTTATGTTAATCTCTACAATCAAAGACAAGAAGATTTGCAGTACAACTGCTAATTATTCATTAATTTAAGAGAAGCAATTTGTTTCACAGAAACATGTAATCAGCCCCTAAACAAATAGAGGCATGTGTCGTTGTATAATCGCCTTTGCAGCCGCATTTTGGTCTTGTCACACAATGCCTTCTTTCCCGCGTTGCGTGACAAGATCAAACAATGCCTTGCAAGGACACTGATCATCTTTTCGATCTGGCTCGACTCTCTGATTGGATGTCCAGTCTCAGTAATTGTCCTGATGTAGTATCCACGCTGTTTGCGTAAAGGAAAAGGAATAATCAATCACATTGTTGTTGGACCGTTCATAGTGATAATTTAACTCTTACTGTAGTTTATCAGTATTTTATACTGTCAAGTGCCACCCTCGAAAAATAAAGTTTATTATTATTATTATTATTATTATTATTATTATTATTATTATTATTATTATTATTATTATTATTATTATTATTATTATTATTATTATTATTATTACGACTGAAACCCATACCACGAATTTGCCAAACGTAACACACAGCAAGGAATGCCCGCGCTCTTTCATCTCATTTTCTGTTCTGCGGTTTTATAATAACATGGATTCATCGACTCTTTATCTTAAAAAGCAATAGCTGGCGTGGAACATTTTGGCAGGTATAAAATTGGTATCAATTGAGGAAAACAAATACGAAAGTATTTACCTTTTGACAAAATCAGCACCGATAATATCATAGACATGGTATCTTATTCCAAGCTTGGAATGAGAATCAAATTTACGGGTGAGAAGATCCTGTTGAAGACCAAACGCAAAACAGAGTAAACCCAAAGACACTTAAAAGCACATATGGTGATTAAAAAGATATTTACGATACCTGCATATCGTTTTGGACTGACTTAAAAGTCCAAAGGATGAGTCAATTCCACGCTTTCACTAATCAAGTTATGGTGATTAATAACAATAACAAAATTTGATGTCAACGTATGATCTCAAAGGTTCATTGAAAATATTGAAAATGATAGTCATGTATTTATGATTTAAAATGCTTCCTCCCTTAACTGTATTTTTGAGAGTTTGTTTGTTTGTTTTCGTCTGCATTTTTTCAGGTATGGTTATTATTCTGTTAGCCTATTCTTATAAAGGTCTGTCTTTGTAAGTATGCATGCATATTCTAGGAAAACCCAATTCATCACAAATAAAATAGTAGTTAGGAATACAATTGCATTCTTTTTTTACTCATTTCTGCTTCTAATTATGAGCAAAAACTCCCAGGATTAGTCTGCTAAGCATTTCACAGCACCCTTGCAGCAGTACACTGATTACATGACTATTTTGTTGTGATAAATTTCCGCATACTGTGCTCTGAGGGGTGAAAACGCTTTGTGTTCAAGGGTAAAAAAGGACTGTAAGCTACAAGTATGGTAAGCTGAACTTTTGATTGTTTCTGCAGTTACTAATTCTTTCAAGTTTTCCCCTTAACCCTTTAAACCCTAGGAGTGACCAGTATCTAATTTCTCCTCACAGGAATACTGCTATAAACCATTCATTAGGATCATGAGAATAAAGGAAATGATCGCCAACCTAAGAAGCTTTGATCTACAAATGAATTCTCCTTGTCAAAACCAAAAGAAACATACGGAGAAGGGTTTGGAGAATATGGATACTGATGTTAGGGTCTAAAGGGTTAATGTCTATTAAGCTCTGGCTGCTTTCTGCAGTTTTGCAACGGAAAAGAGCACAGTCAAGGCCTTTTTTATGATTTTACTTTCTTTTTAACAAATAGTTAAAATACTATTATAGTTTTGGAGAAAATTAGATAAGGAAAGGAGAAAATTGATCAAGCATTTTAACATACCTTCTCAAGAATCTCCCGATATTTCCTCTTTTTGAACATTTGAATAAGAGCTTTTCTTCCTTAAAAGAAAATCAACATTTGTTACAACATTAAATTTAACAGTTTTATGGCAAGTCTTGAGTTACATCCATGTAAATAAATATCAGTGATGACAATAGTACCAATAAGAGTAATGTCCATAGTAGTAATGTAAATAAAAACAATAAGAAGTAAAGTAATAGCAGTAATAAAACTAATGCACAGGTAAAGTTGACCTATTTTTTTTCCTACACAGAAATTTTTTTATTGAGAAAATTACTGTCAAGTAACCAGAACCTAATAAAATTCTGGCAAGTTCTGTTGTACATGTTCCTCATGTGAAGCCTTTAACCTTATAACTCTTATTAGTGAACAAGACAGAATTTCTCTTCACAATATCAACTCGATATCAAGCAGAGAAATGATGAAAATAAAGAAAAATATCAATTAGGGGAGTACTAGTTGATCTAATACCAAATTCTCCAAACTAACATCATAGGGATTTTATGGTAACCATTAAGGAGAATTATTAATGAGATCTAGACACCAAAAGCATATTCAAGAATAGCTCGTGGAGATACTGTGACACTTAAAATGGGGTGAGTAATGCAAATAACACACATCTCCCATAGTAATTCACTTTCACAAATTAAAATAGAAAACATTTTCCCTTTACCATTAGAGAAGTTTTTCATAAAGATTCCTGCACCAGGGATGGATAGCCACCAACTTCCCACATCTCTGGTTGTAAGGATACCAGTGTTGACCAGTTGTCTATAAATCACACCAAAATGAACATGAAATAATACAAACTTCACAAACAAAGCATGGGCTTATACAGAATAATTTAAAAACAAAGTACATAAAAATAAAATAAAACAAAGGTTTGATAAAAATGCAAGTTCCCTTAAGGGCAACAACAATTTCCTTTTTCCACCCCTGTGTCAGTTGTATAACAGATTCTACATCAAACTTAGCATTTTCCAGGCATGCAATAAGTAAAGCAGAGCAAAAAGGTAAAATACAGTTGTAGCACCCAAGAAACAGCAAGGCAGAAACAAGGGAGATTTAGGTGTATGCAATGCACCCACACCTCCCCTCTTTTTTCACTCATTTGCAACTATCTTGCCTGGAGCAGGCTTCAATGAAATGCAATGTCATAAACCATATGTACCTGTCGTCACTAGTAAGTGGTCACTATTTGAATACTATTCACTTTTTAGGGATTGGGACCCTCTCCTAAGTTAAAACAAAGAAGAACCTGCTCTATCAACATGTAGGTAAAAAGATTGGCACTCTGTAAAGTTTTGGAAGGGGGGTATGACTGGCCTCAAAAACCCTTTTCCACAGTTACTGGTATTTAAATTAATTTGTACTACACAACTGTACATTAATTCAATAAAATACTCAGCTACTGTGCATTTTTAACCATACACAGGAGTTTCAAAAAGAGCAAGTAACTGGTGGTTTACTAATCTCCCTATAAGACATCTTAATGCATTATAGTGTTTAACCTGCAAGCTTCCATGTTTAGATTTAACCTTACAGCCATTTTACACAATCATCAGCTGTTCATGGAAAAATTATTGAAACTCCTGATACAATACCCAAATAAAAAGGTGGCCATTTAACAGAAACCCAATCAATGAAAATATTTTCATAGCATACTATCTGCTTATAGAATGTATTTCAGGGTTAAATCCACCCACACAACATTCATACTAATATAAAAGTATTTTCATCCAGTAGTGTCATGTTACATACGTAATCTCCTCCTCAGAGAGTTTGAACTTCCCAGTAATGTCAATTTTACTTATGCTGACATCGGCATGATTTGGGAGCACATCATTGGTAAACTTGTCTACAACATTGTTTAATAAAAGCAAAAGATTAAATGTCAATTATTTCAAAATCTGTGCCTAATCCATTGAAAAAAGTTCAGGCTTCAACTAGATTGTATAACTAGTACAACCCAGACACTGGTTGGGTGTCTCTACAAACACAGATAAAAAACCACTTGTTGGAAGCAAGGCATTATCAGTAAGTACAGTTTCATGCTCAATAAGCCTAGGACAAATTCAGGTCCTTACTCTCAACATGTGGCTCTGAAACTCAGTTGGGAACAAGGGGTCTTCTATCAAGTTATTATTTCTAACAAGAAAATAACTACTAAAAATTAAATGTGTAATATCTATTTAGCATTATTCTATATGTTTAAAAAAAAAACATAACAAGCCTGTGATGAATTTATGAATGCCTAAAGGGCTTTCCAAGACTCCTAAACAATGGCAGTTAACTATAAGTATTATAGCATCTATGAAACCAAACGTTTTTTGTATTAATGTCATAGAGTGTCAAAGAGCCAAGCTCCAAACTCAGCTTTATGTCTTGATCTAGGAAGTTAACTGAAAAACATTTTAGTGTGTACTCAACATTACAAATATTAATTAAAAAACTACAAAATTACATGTATTAGAATGCTTCTTAGAAAGAAAAATGTTGCACACAGTCTTTATCAAAGACTTCAGACTAACCCATAGCAGGAAGAATACTTGTATCAGTTACTCTGGATTTGATGTGAGAAATATATTCATCAGTAATTAAAATGCCAAACTCATCAGAACCTGATGTCAGTTTGAAAAGGCGGATTTTGTTCTCCTCCCAAAGAGTATTCTGAAAACAAATTTTAAATGAAATGTTACATAATTACAGTGTTTCATAGAGCTTGTGCTGAGGGAGATAGAAAATGAGTTTCAGAGAAGTAATTTTAACCCTTTCACTCCCACAAATTGTCCAGATAGTAATCCTCCTTATACTCTGCATTGAAATTCTTATGGTTTGGAGAAATTGCTATTTGAATCAACTAATAATTACCTTATTGATATTTTATTTATTCTCACAGCTGGTCTGTTTGATACTGTAAGGGGAAATTCTGTCTTGGCCACTTGTGGGAATTAAAGGGTTAGACAAGTGTACATGTAGAAAACAAATGTTTAATTTTCCAAATTTATCCCCATGCATTTCTTCTATAAGTATTTTTTAAAGTACATCTGTCAGCTATTTTTTAGAATATACATGTATCACCTAAAAATGGATTGTAAGGGTCAGGTTTTAGGCTTCAAAGAAAGGAACATGTGCTGCTAGGATACTGCAGAACTTTGTGACTGTTTACTTACAGTAACCTTTCAATTCTCAGAGGTGATTAACATGTAATTTTTCCCTATAATATTCATACATTATACAGAACACAGGTTATGAGAATACTCAAAATTATCAGATAGAGGTTGTCCTCTTGATCTAACCCCAAACTCTTGTAACTAATTTAAAAGGAAATGTGTAGCAGCTAGAGGGGAGAAGTAACAATCAGTCTATAGGATTTAAGGGTTAAAAAACATACCATCTGTAAACATACCATCTTTCATTCCTGTTAACATAAAGCTCTGGCACATTAATATTGCCATATAATTTTAAAATTTTCATTTATGAATAGGGATGAAATAAGGCAAAAACCTTGCTCCTAATGGCAAGAGGTACATTATTTTCAAGCTATGTTCTTGATACTGTCAGCTGTAGGATGGCTGACATATTTTGTGACATTATACTTAACTCACCAATTGTCTATCAACCAGCGTACGATCTTTCACCACACAATAGATCTGATGCTTCAGAATTATAGCAGGAATTTTTCCTTCAAACTTGTCCAATGGGACAAGAGCCTTCAAATATAATATGGCTGCTTCTGTGTCACTTGGAACTTCAAATTCTAAATGAAGGAGCAAGAATCAGAATTCTCATAAGAAAGCTGGGCCCAGGTATGGCAGCACATGATTAGAGACTACAGTCAAACTACTATCCTGCCCCCCCCCCCCCCCCCCCCCCCCCCCCTTTAACAACTTGATGGACAGACACTTCAGAGTGTAAATAACGTCAACTGACTCAGTTTTTGCGACATGGACGGGAAGAAAACTTATAAAAAAGGCATGAAAAAAATGAAAACAGAAAAAACAGCAGTATTAGCGGTGACAAGTCAACAAAAACAACAACAACGACTCCCAACGAAAAAATCCATTACAAGTATTAATCTGTTCACCTTAAGTACTTTGATAGGAACGTATTTCTCAGCTTGTTGCTTGCTTATTTTACGTGTGTGACAGGAATTAAAAAAAAATACTATCTCAAAGAAAATATAGCATTGACTTTAATACATGGTGGAGCCACCATAACAATAGTAATCCCCTAATTTGTAAATCAAAGATCATTGTTCGAGTGTTAAAGGGGCAGAAACTCACCAAAATCGTCCTCTTTCGAATGGCAAGAGCGCCCTTCGCTTGGGTTCGCTATACGGCATTTTTTTGAGCTGCAACCATCAGGAAGAAGATCAAAATCCGACCAAGACCGTTTGGCAGCCATGAATGGCAAATAAATTTATAAACTGGAACAAATCCTTGCTTCAGTTGTTCTTTTGTTTGGCGGCCATTTTGATTTTTTTACAATTTGCTCGACCCAGTTTCTTGCAAAGGTAAAACCGATGGTCATAACCGGTGCGGGCTCCAAGTTAGGATTCTTGACTGCGATTGCGAGTCAATGGAGGTGACGCCGTGGAAATATCGTACCATTCATTGAATATGCTCTAAATTACATGGCACTAGGTGTAAAAAATAAAAAATAAAAAATCAAGGACCAAATAAACAAAAATGCTTGAGCCAAAGAGGTGAGAAAACCAAATAACGTCGAAAGAAGCGATCACTTGCGTTGTCCAACTCCTAAGAGAGTAAAATACGAGGTATTCTACTGAGCTTAAAGTTCTAGACTGATCTGTACCCTCCAAGTGTTCCTCTACTGTATCCGATTACATTGCAAAATTAGTTTTTTCGGGCAAATGCTCGAATTACAACTGTGAAACATTAACTAACGAAATGTTCAAGCGTGATTCGCGTCACAATGATAAGGTAGCGTACACTTTGAAGGGATTCTGGTGATAAGTACATCTTCCACTTTACAGCACTGTGAGTGCAATTTCATGTTTCGAACGGACTGAGACATAGATTCTATCGGTCGAAGTAAAGATAAGACTTTACAAGAATACTGTTTAGCCTGTGAAACGCTAAACGCTCTAGTGCCGCAGTTTAGTCAAGTATAACGGATAGAAACAGGTCTTCGCAAATGTTCGATTAATAATTCAAGAACAATGTCAAACTTTTCCGATGTAATCTCAGTAGAGATGTGTAGAAGTTTCGTAGTCCTAATCTGCTTTTTAGCAGCGGTTGAAACAGTTTGGTCATCGGCTGATCCAAGAGGGACGAACAGATTGCACGGTGAGACGCGGAATGAGCAGGATGAACGAGTCCACTTTCGTGGTCGCACAAAGCAAACATCGAAAGGACAATCGAAGGACAAAGACAACTCTCTGAACCTTGGAAACATTCTTTTCGATCGGGAACAACTCAAAAAGTACGTCCTTGATTATTTGTGGAAACATCACGCGCGCGATCCGGAAACAGATACAACAATGAACAAGGAGGAGGGAACATTCAGTCAAACTGATAAAATACAATTTGGTAACCATCACAACAGGTTGGAACCCAGCGCATCAAGCACAAAATCAAAACAAAGGCGCGTGCAAAATAATAATCGCCAGGAACACATAAGTAAAAAATCATTTCATCAACACCAAAGTCATACAACACCTAAGCAACGCACGTCATCATCAGGACAAACGCGGTTTCATTCATATCAACGAGATCACCCAAAGCACTGGTTGTCCAAAAAGTTTCACTTGCCTGTCTATTACAGTGTCAAGGAAGTTAATGGAAAGGAAAACTTTATTTTGGACCATCCATTATCTTCTGATTCTAAATCAAGGAAAAGGAAATCAAAACTAGGAGGAAAGGAGTCGAGATATATTGATGGTCTGACTGGTGACAAAGGAAATAAAGTCGCAAGAACATTGCACAGCCATAAGGCTGAAAAGAGGGAAAATTCTCTCTCAGAAAGATCAGATACACATTCATTCCCACCCTCTCCAACACATAGGAAAGCGACTGTACAGAAGAATAAGAGTCACAAAAGCGGAGGATCACATCACAAAGGAACTAAACTTAAACACCATTTAAATGATCAAAAAGAGGGAAAGAATGGTTTGAGACATGAAAAATCTAAGAAATCCAAGAAATCTAACAAAAGAGATTTTATTGCAATACTCCCACCAAAGGATGTAAAGATTGAGGGCTTTGATGTAGAGAGAGTTCATTCTCATTCATCTCATGAGAAACGGAAAACAGTTGGATCTAAAATCAAAAGAGTGAGGCATTTGAAATCGCAAAAAAACCTGGAGGTGACATCTGTGACAAAGGACGTTATTATCAGGAAAAGTAGCGCCTCAGTGAAATCTAGTAATAGGAAGCACGGCCGTAAAGTTGCAAAGATATCACACAGGATTGATCATCATGATGCTAAGGTTACAAAAAGAAAGGAATCGCATTCCAGGAAAATGACCAAGGAAACCAAGAAAAAAAGAAGAAAGAGCCATTTCCATAAAAGCTCTAAGGAATATAAAGCCATTAGGAAAAGTTTTGTTGGCCCCCCTGCATCTAAAAGTCACCCACATCTTAACAAAGATAAAAAGCACCATCACAAACGTGAAAAATCAATTGAGCATAACGAGAAAACTTCAAACGGCCATAAAAGACACAAAACAGCTAAAAGTAAATACTCTAAGTCGATGAAATTTTCTCCTTCTTGGAAATCTCTCGACAGAAGAAAAATTCCATCTTGGTACGACGAGGCTAAGTTTGGAATATTTGTACACTGGGGTTTGTATTCGGTTCCAAGCTTTGATAATGAATGGTTCTGGTACAACTGGAAGTCGTTAAAGAAGAAGAAATATGTGGATTTTGTTGAGAAAAATTATCCTCCGGGATTCAGCTACAACCAGTTTGCCCCAATGTTCAAGGCGGAATTTTTTGATGCCAATAAATGGGCCAAACTGGTGGCCCGATCAGGGGCAAGGTAAGAATTTTGCTTTAATTCACCACCTGCAGAGTGATTTATTTTGTCACGATTTTCTTCTACTGTGCTTGAACCAGGACTTACACCCGAGAAGACGGCTTAGAATTTGCACTTGGCATGAACGCACCCTCTTATTTACCATGAGTTGCAATTGTAGAAGTCGAAAGATTTCGTCAGTAGCTTTCAAGTGATGGCTGTAAGGAAATTTAACTTTAAATTGTTGAACAATGGCCACCTAATTTTCATCTCGGGTTTGCCTTCTCAGCTGGTCTGGTGCTACTTTTTTCCATCGTTCTGCTTTAAACTCCTCTACCTCATTTTTAATTGAAACAACTGGATGATGGTCAAATCAGCCATTATATTTCATCATTGTTGTTCCAGGTACTTTGTGTTTACCAGCAAACACCACGAAGGCTTCACAAATTGGAACTCGAGCGCGGCCTGGAACTGGAACTCAGTCGATGTTGGACCTCATAGAAATATTGTTGGTGAGTGTTGAAAACTATATATGATTTCTTAAATGCTTTCTGATTTTAAATTTACATGAAAGTGCAATTAAACAAAAAGATCGTAATTTTAGACCCGCTATTGATATATTCATGCAAAAAAAAAAATCTTCGGGTGAACTGCATTTAGTTGAATTGTCTTAAGGAAGCCTGAACATTTTCAGGCTTTCACGTGACTCAAACCCGTCTTCCATATTTTTTATGGGTGGCATTACCAACTGAGCTACGAAGCTACATGTTGGGTGCGAGGCAAATTAATTCTAGTGGGTTCTTTGTTCTCGTAAAGGAAAAAAAAAAAGAATACAAAAAATTACGACTTATTAGTATGATTGTGACCATATTCCGTTACAGTGATATATATAACACACATTACCTGGTGTGAACTCAGCAGCTTTTGATCAGTGGATTGAACATACAACTAAGACTGAGTTTAACATACCAAATTCGTGAATCGGTTATAAGCGTAGCCATTTTTGTGGGCGATTTAAAATTTTTGTTTTTTTAGATGAGCTTGCAAGAGCTTTTCGTAATCTGGAGGACCCGCATATAAAGTTTGGTTTGTACTACTCATTATTTGAGTGGTTTAATCCTCGCTTCTTAAAAGACAAAGCCAATGACTTCAAAACGGATGGGTATGTTCAGGTACGTGACCTTTCCTCTAGATTTACTACGTATGAACTGTTTGAGTTACTCGCACTAAGTCGACATAAGTTCCCTTCCGCTTTGAAACTCGTGAATTACCATGGATATGCATGCCTAGCTCTTTAGATGAGCGTTATAGACGAACGGTGACAATAGTAGCTTTTCCAACTTTCCGTAGCATGAAGCCCTGAACTAAATGAGTATTCACCATTCAGTTTCTCTAAACAACTGAAGATACTAGTCTAAGGAAGGTATATGGCCACAAACCTTTTCGTCTAGGTTTCTCCAGATAGGTTTGTGGTAGCTATCAGTGCATATCCCTTGTTGTAGGAGCTTTTTAAGGTTATCCATTCACATTATCAGATCAGTTGATAAAACCAAATCCTCGTTTAAGAGACGAACTGCGAGTGTTTAGCTTCCTGCGAAGAAACGCAGCACATGTGAACGTGACCTGACCAGCCTCTTAGTCGAAAACCGCCAAAACCCTTTAAGATAATGGAGTTTTGAAAAATTTTCTCCTTCACCTGCTCTTTTATGGTATACTAAAGAAGAGCTATTCGCCTCGGGTTCGCGTAGATGATATGCCTTGGCTAGAAAGTTCTCTGTGTTTCATCAGGCTGTTGTTAAGCCTCAGTTGTACAACCTTATCAATACCTACAAACCTGATTACCTATGGTCTGACGGAGATTCGGAGGCAAAAGCATCATACTGGAGAAGTGAGGAATTCCTAGCGTGGCTCTTTAGTGAAAGGTGAGTTTTTTAACTGTGGCAGCCACGGTGGACATGATATATTGGCTTAACTATTAAATAATAAAACAGTGGAAAGCATTGAAAGAGCGCTCTGATTGGCTACTCAAAATCCGAATATCCTTTGCTTTTCACCTCCGCGCAACTCGCGCGGGATTTGTGCCCAAAAATGTTGTAATCGTTGCATGAATAAATGAGATAAAATCATATTTTTGTGCTATAATATCTCACTGTTTTAGTATATAATTAAACAACTATTCATCACAGTGTAGGTGGCTGGCGGTAGACATTTACCTCGCCACCTCAACACCTCGCAGCTGGACAAATATTCACCACCAGCCACCTCCAGTTCGGTGGTTAGTTGTTAAATATCACGAGTCTCCCATAAAGCTTATCAAATTTAGTAAAGCATCCGAGCTACGAATCAGCAGGCGTTAGAAGTTCTGGAATCTGAATTTCAGACTATACTCGTTTCTATCCGTCACTGAAATAGATCATCTCTCATTTAAAACAACAGGCTGATGAAAATCTATCACAGTTGACATGATAGATCGAAAAATCCTTACAAAAATCCTTAAAGCTTTCCACCGATAAATCTTAACAGAAAGAATTAGCAATACAAGGGTTTAGGTTCGACTCCTTTCAAAGGTCATTTGTCTCTCTCTAAATCGAAAAATGAAAAAAGAATCGTTGATCGACCAATTGTTGTCTGAGTTTCTGATAGGAAAAATGAAATGGTTGCATAGGAAATTCCTAGAAGGAACATAGTCGCTGAATGAAAATGTGCAAAGAAGCCATATAGTAGAACCTTAAGCTGTGGTGTGGATTAATATAAATGTATAAGAACACTTTCCACATTTCTTTTTCAGTCCAGTTAAAGACACTGTTGTAGTAAATGACAGGTGGGGGCGTGGTTGCCGATGTCATCATGGAGGCGTTTACACTGGGCAGGACAGGTATAACCCTGGTGAGTGCAAAAACTGAAATTCCTTAACTGATAATACAAAGATATTAATACAAACTATATTTATGACACAATCAGAAAGAGAAAGTATCCCTCACAAAATGTTGGCATTGTTGAGTCTATGATCAACCTTAACCAATTAATGCATATAATCACTTTCTGAAAAACTAACGTAAATTTAGGGCCAAAAATTAAGTGAGATAAATATATTTGACAATACCTACCTCTTAGAGAACAAAACAATGTGAGGCCACAACAAGAGTGAATAAAATGTAGAGAATGGGTCCTGCACATAGCACTCAGTTTGGAAGTGTCTATCTTTGAAAATTATTCTTAGATAAAGAAGACCAGGCCCTAGTTGTTTAGAGTCTGGATAGCGCTATCCAGCGGATAAATCGCTATCCAGCCGATTAGTGTCAACTGCACTATTCAAAGGATAGAGATTTATCCAGTGGATAGCGTTATCCACCCTTCCAACTCCTGGAACCAGATGGTTAGGATGTGGAAATAAGTTGAAATGGTTCGTGTTGATTACAGGCAAACTCCAGAAGATGAAGTGGGAGAATGCTATGACAATAGATCGTCGTTCCTGGGGATTTCGACGAGAAGCAAACCTGAAAGACTACCTCAGTATTGAAGAATTGATAAAACAGCTGGTCTCTACTGTCAGGTAAGTGAGGGGACTCAGGTGTTGCATCCGCTCGACCCAAGTGAGCATATCATGTGTTTAACATTTTCAACCGACTGAAGAAAAATACTTATTTCGTCTGCTTTTAGTCGTCTTCTACCTTTGTGACAAATAGTTCGACTTCTTCCATAGCATTTTATTCTTTCATAATCTAAGGACTTTATGGTTGAGTAAGCACCAATATCAGAGTTTATTTTGGGCGTTTCCGACTTCCATAAGTGTCATTGTTACAAATTAACAACTCTTCAGGGGTTAAGTTAAATTTTTCTTCTTAGTGATAGTGAGAAGGGGTTGCGCTCTTGAACTGTTTAATCGTTTAAATTATCAACATTTAAAACCAAACAAGCTAACGAACGATGGTTCTTACAAATACGTATCACTCCGTCAGAAACTATTTCCTGCAAAATGTATTAGTTCAATAAACTGATTTTGTCAAAATCACGTTTAAGGCTATGGCACAAGGGACGATGTGCTGAGACGTAGATCACTGTATACATATATGCTCCCATAAATGGGACACAACGTTAGACAGAAACGTTAGATAAACATCTTTAGCGTCTAAAGTACAATCTTGACTAAGTGGTTGACGTACATACTTCACAGCAACAGTAAAGTAAACGATGGAAATCATCAATATTACCAAACGGAAAGAACTTGACATAACAGATGGAACAAAGTGCCAACTATTCAACCACTTAAACACACAGAAACAGAAATAAAAGTAGAAAGGTGATCTTTGCAGGTGAGAAGTAAAAAAAGAAACTTCAGACAACACGACTGCAAAAAATTCTTACTTCCACGGGATTTGAACCCGTGACTCTCTGAGTTGGTGGCAAGTACCAACTGAGGGAAGCCAAATATTGGGAGCAGGGTAATTTTTAGTAGCTTCTACGTTCCCGGAAATTGAGATCCAAAAAAGAGATCATTTCTAAGTCATATATCTCTTCTTGGCAGCTGCGGCGGCAACCTGCTCATGAATGTTGGACCAGCATCAGATGGTACGATTGCGCCGATTTTTCAGGAACGTCTCACTCAGATGGGAGATTGGTTAAAAGTGAATGGCCACGCTATTTACAAAACCAAACCATGGCGAGCTCAAAATGATTCGGCTAACGGCGATGTTTGGTAAGAAATCTTTAGCGTAAATGTAGGTAACAGACAATTTTTCAGTAAGCACGATTTCTGTTTTTCGTGTATCTATCTCGGAGCTATACTCTACTCTACTCTAAACTCTCACGCGTCGAACCAAAACTGTTGTTGTATTTTCCTCTCGCCTGATTAATTGCTTCTTGTGTCCGAGGATGTTTAGATAATTACGAAACAGATGACAGCAAAAGAAAAAATCTGCTAGGTCTTCAGGCTTCTCCTGACTTTGTCAAACCGGAATCGGCCATCGTTCCCAGACCCTGTTCAGGAAAAGAAGCAAGAAAGAGCGCTTAGATATTCTGATATGTTCAAGATTAAAATTATTCGTGCTCATTTCCCACTCATTAGGTACACATCCAAAGGAAGCCACGTTTATGCTATTGCACTAAAATGGCCATCATCTGGTAAACTGGTTCTTGGAGATCCTATTTTCACACCTGACGAAACACAGGTCAGAATGCTGGGAACAGAAAACGATCTCAAATGGAAGCATGGATCAAAACACAAGAGTGGAAAACGCAAAATAGAGATACATGTTCCAGTTACTCCTTTGTCAGAGCTCCCCTGTTTGTGGGCGTGGGTTTTTAAACTAACAAACGTAAGGTGATTTGATTTCAATGCCAAGCTAAAGCTGGTTTCATGAGCAATCATGGAGTAAAGTAATCATTTTCTGTTTCAACTGATCATCAGTGAGCTTACGTGGCTGAAAACCTGTATATAGCCCTCGTGTTAATGTAAAGGAACCATAAACATCCGGCTGTTTTAATTCGCCAAAAATCCAAGAAAATATGAACGCAACGGAATATTCACAAGGAATTCATGCATTGAAATACGTACGCAAAATCCAGACTGTTTAAGGAAAACAACAGAATGCTGCTAATGTTAAAGTGATTTGTTTACCTTTACTGTGTTCCAATAATACAGTTGTAGCTCAACGCCTTAAAATATTGAAGTTTAGACCTTGGTTTGCTTCAGGTAAACTTGCTACGAAAGAGCCGGGCAGACAAGAATGTTCAAAAACAATTTTAAGTTTTGATAAAAATCAGATATCTAAAAATTATATAAGAGAGAGATCAAATTTAAGATAGCGAGGTAAAGAGTAGATGGTTCACCTCAATTTCAACCCACAATTTTTCAGGCCATAATTTTCATGATAAGCCGGTCGTAGCACTTTCAAAAGCATCAGTATTTATTCAACAGTTTAAGTTTTTTCAAAGTTATGAGTAATATATATATGTAGTACTATAAACTGAGTTGATAAAGTAAACTGGCCACCGTAAAGAGTTTGAAAGCTGACGTTTCGAGCGTGAGCCCTTCGTCCAATCGCTCTGACGAAACGTCAGCTTTAAAACTATTTACGGTGACCAATTTACGTTATCAACTCAGTTGATAATACTTAATTACCCTGTTATACTCTCCCACCGACGCAGCACCATAGTTTCTTTTGAAACTTACCCCCCTTATAAATTATTATCAGTTGACTTTTGTTTGGTGAGGGGAGGGGTAGATATACGAGGTTACTCAGATCCTTATATCATTCCATAAATTCACAGATGATTACAAATCCTGACACATCAATTTGTTCAATAGAGGTTAGGGTAAAGTTTTTTGAAAAAGGAGCCTGAAACGAAATTTTAGATCCATGATAACTGTTAAACTGCATGAATTTTAAAGAATGTAACTGTGTCCATGCTCTTGTTTCGGCAACGAGTGTAAAGTTTTTCTGCATACAAAAAAATGTAAAAACATTATTAACCTGTACTATGCTTTCAACTTGTAGGACTATGAGATGAACTCTCCAATAAAATATAAAAAAAGTTCTACCTCTGCGTGAATAAAAATGGGTTGTTTCATTACTTTTTTTTTCGTTTTTCGTTTTTTTTCTGGAGAGCAAACCAATAATTATTTATTTTACGCTTCACCAGGGAAACATTGACAGAGCGAATGTATCACTTATGGAAACAATCCAAGTTTTCTATCTGAATTCCTTTTTTCAAAGCGATCACGAAATAAAAGTGGAAATAAATGACTGAGTAGAGCCATTCCTAATATTTGCGATTTCAATAAGCCCAATATTTTTTTTTTGTAAACTACCAAGGTACGTTGCAATTTTTTGTAATATCGTGATCACACTTTTTTCCTTCGCCCGAGTGTATCCGTTTGCTTAGCACAGCAGTGAGCTAGAACGTAATCGTGTTTGTATTGTCAATAAATGATCGCCCCTTTGAATAAACACATTTCTACAGAATGATACTTTTTCTTTGCACAAGAAGGTAGGCTCCACAGGCAATAATTCATTTGTGTCATTACGTTCTCCTTTTGTACTTCTTTAACACCTGCTAAAGCTGATAGATAACATCTATTTGTATTAGAAAATAAACACAGCAAGTAAGTATTTTAAAAGATGTTAATCACAAGAAATAATGTTTCCCGTTTGAACAATGACGCTAGTTGGCAAATAAATACTTTTTATGAGACTAACGCATCTAATGTTGAAGTGTACAAAAGAACAGAAAAATTTTGAACCAAGTCCAACAACTGATAGTAAGTTAGGGTTAATGTTGGGTTAGGGTAGGGGGAGGGGTAGGGGAGGGGGAGGGTAGGGGTAGGGAAGGGATAGGTGCGCAGATGCTCAGTCACTGACACTGAAAGAAACGCTTTCTGGATCTTCTTACACAAACATAACTAAAATAATGATATGCTTGCCTGTATGTATTTAAATAACGGACCAAACGTTTTCCATAACTGTTACCTGTTCAAAGTATTCCCTTTGTTGCTGATGGTAGAAGACGAACACTAAATGTTTAAACAGGCGTCTTCGAAGTAAAAAAATTCAATCTTTTCCGATCTTTTTTATTATGCCGCCGATAACACAACGCAAAGGTACAACCAAAATTATTTTCCCACAGAATAATGAAAGTTTCATGATTTCTTTCTACGTTTTCGTTTATGTTTACCTTTTCTGTCCTTTCTTAAAAGAACTCGGACCGAGATTGTGGTCAACCTTTTCAACAAAAATAATTCGTTATATAAACATGAAACTTTTGCATAACTGTATAAACAGTTCTGTGTATGTCTACCGTGTGTTCCGTGTCTTTTTTGAGAGGGAAAGATGTTTTTCGTCTCGTCTCAAGCATTGAAAATAGTTCTGAGACCTTTCAAGGAACGGAATCCTTTTAATTTCATGTTTAAATCAATCGGATCTTACTCGGAGTATCCTCTATAAAAGATTACAACACGGAAAAAAAAACCTTCGTGCTTCTGACTTCCCTCTAAACTGTTTTGTATTTTTGCACACAGCTTTTTTTTCCGCTTGGAAAAATATTTCACTGCTGTTTATTTCAAACAAAACGATATGAAAAACAGTTCGTAAGATACACGTGGACTGCAGACACATAGGTTGACCGTTCTGTTGATGTTCACCGTGTGTTCCTTGCTTGCAAAACAGTGCTAGTGTCAAACAATTACAGCAATCTTTTTCGTGGGTCTAGGGATTGACATGTTGTTTTTTTCAGAGTGAAAATGATAACTGTAGAAGACATCGCCGTTTTTTTTTTTTTTTTTTTTTTTTTTAACAAAAACTTTGTTTATCTACTGCCTCTTGTTTAAGGATTCGTAAAAACGCTGACCATGCACAGCTCCAGAGCGATATGCCAATAAACAGGCCAATTGGTAATTTCATGTCAACTTTATTTCTCTCCTTTGTGATACAAATGACCTGATTTCAGAAAGGATTACAACTGGATAAACTTTCAGTCCTACCACTAAGTAAACTGTTTGCCTTTTGCGCGACAGACTTGTACAAACAGTACTTGGAACAAAGAAAGATTTGTTCTCCACTTTGTCGATTGCATTGCGTAACAGGCCGTGCTGAGCTATAAAAGTAGTCAATGTTCGAGTTCATGCCATAGCCTTGCAAACAGCAAAGCACTGTGATCAAGATGAATGCTCTTCTGCTGGTCCTGTTTTTCGGAGCTTCAGTCGCTTTGGCAGAATCTCCTTTTGGGCTCTCAGCTCTAGATGAACTCTCAGACGAGGAGAGTGAAGAAATCATTGGGGAATTTGCAGATGTGGAAAATGACCCTCACAACCCTTTCCCCAAGAAGGTAAATTCAGTTTGTGGTTTAAAGGTGCTGCACCTAGAAGTAATTCTAGGCTAATATATAGTTGCATTCCTGGTTTCGCTTTGTTTGTCAATCAGTATTATCATACTTTCACATTTAGCCATTTGCAACACAGGAGCAAACGTAGTTCATACAATTATTGAGATCAATTTTAAAAAGTATGAAGTTTTCTACTTAATCAAGTTTTTCTTTGGGTTGTTAGTCACCAGGACTTTGTGCACAAATTTGAGTTCGGTCTGATCTCGCGGGAAACAGTAAGGAGATAAAAAATTAAAACTCGGGGGAAATAAAAGAGCTCTAATTTAGGCTCAGGTTGTGTCACTTTAGTTAAACCGTTAACATAGATATCACAACGAGTAACAATTTACGCTTCGGTCATCAATGTCTACTTGCGCCAAGGTTACGAATTACGAGAAAGGCTACGAAGACAGAGCGTTTACTGGTGCTGGCAGTGGCAACCCTTTTAGATGCTTTATCAACCAATTATAATAATAATAACGCGAACATTTATGAAGGATAACCTATCAGTTCTATTAAAAAGAGCTGTTATCAAAAATAGTCCTGAAACTAAAATCACTAAGAAATCTAAGATTAAAAAATATAATCTGTAAAAATTATTGACTTATAAGATTGAAAAGAGTTGTGAATTATATTCTATTGAAAAACTCTTTTAACTTATTCTTAAAAATTAAAAATTTCTTAAATGCCGAGGTAAAGTATTTTAAATAAGAGTCTCTTGAAAGGCAAAACTTCTCCTTCCAAATTCTAATTTGGCTTTGGGAAGTTTTAGTGAGCACCCACTGTTTCTAATGTTCATGTTGTGTTCAATTTTTGTAAAATATCCTTTAAAAGGGGTACAGACAATCAAAGACAAGCTGGTAGGACTGTCTCTTTATTAAACTTTCCACTGTCTGGTCTGGACTTGATAATTTCCACCAATGACTAATTAGGGCTGAGCAGAACGTGCACAGTTTCAAAACATCACGTGAAGCTTTTCAAGTTAGCTCACAAGTGATGGTTTGGAGTATCTTCAGTCAATAATTATGTCAGCATTTTAAACGATTTTCTAAGTTCTTCGATTTTAGTTTTATGATGTTGCTCTCATTATTATAATAATTGTTACTTTATTATTACACAAACCTTTGGCTTTAAAACAACACTGAAAAAACAACAAACTAAAACGATTGGTCATTTTAGCAAGTTTGCTTTTTTTCAGATAATGTGTCTTATAGCACTCAAAAAATGCATGGCAATTTTTGTAAAGTGCCGTCCCAAGCCGACCAGTCCCGAGCTGGCACGCGATGAATTCTCGGATGAAAATGATCCGCATTACATACCGAGTGGTCCACCCAAGCCGGTAAACTGAACTCAGTTTGTCTTTTCTTCTTTTAGTATTAAATTTTTAACAAACAAAAAACTTGACAAAACACTACACTCACAAGAAAATCTTGACCAATAAATTGTTAGTTTTATGATGTTGCTATCATTATTATAATAATTACCTTTATTATCATATTATCACAGTAGCCTATGACTTTAAAACATCACAGAAAAAAACGACAAATTTAAACGATTGGTCATTTAGGCAAGTTTGCTTTTGTTCAGGTAAAGTGTGTTATTGCACTCAAAAAATGCAAGAACATTTTTGAAAAGTGCCGTCCCAAGCCGACCCGTCCCGAGCTGGCACGCGATGAATTCTCAGATGAAAATGATCCGCATCACATACCGAGTGGTCCACCCAAGCCGGTAAACTGAACTCAGTTTGTCTTTTCTTCTTTTAGTATTAAATTTTCAACCAAGAAAAAACTTGATAAAACACTACACTCAGAAGAAAATCTTGACCAATAAATCGTTAGTTTTATGATGTTGCTATCATTATTATAATTATTACCTTTATTATCATATTATCACAGTAGCCTATGACTTTAAAACATCACAGAAAAAAACGACAAATTTAAACGATTGGTCATTTAGGCAAGTTTGCTTTTGTTCAGGTAAAGTGTGTTATTGCACTCAAAAAATGCAAGGCAATTTTTGAAAAGTGCCGTCCCAAGCCGACCAGTCCCGAGCTGGCACGCGATGAATTCTCAGATGAAAATGATCCGCATCGCATACCGAGTGGTCCACCTAAGCCGGTAAACTGAACTCAGTTTTTCTTTCCTTCTTTTAGTAATAAATATTTAACAAAGAAAAAAACTTGACAAAGCACAACACTCAGAAAAAAATCTTGACCAATAAATTGTTATTGTTTGTGCCGTGGAATTTCAGTTGCTTTCCATTTTATCAAAAATGTACTACCGTTGTTTTGCATGATATTGTTTACAATTTGAAAAAAACAGGAACAACAACAACAAACCTAGCTCACTTTTTTTTTTTTTAGATTAATTTAGAAAAGTATGGATTACAAGGCGTACTTAATTTCACAATGTTGGCCCAACAGTTTTTCGCAGGGTTTTATTTTTCGCAATTTCAACAGGCAAATATGAAAATATGAATATTCGCAAGCCTTTCATTTCGCGATTTTTTTACTCTCACGAAAAACGCGATATTAAGTATCAGCCAAGTTAAGTAGGTATACAAAAATTGGATCAATATCAGTATCTGGGCAACTACCCACCTTCCCCTCCCCTAACCCAACATTAACCCTAACTTGTTATCAATTGACTGTTGTTGAGTTAGGGGAGGAGTAGGTGGCCAGTTGCCCAGATATTGATCCCAAAAATCAACAGATTTCAGTCTTATCTTGGGGGAAACAGTAAGGAGATCAAACACGAAACACGAGGGAAATAATTATCACTATTTTCATTGTTAAAATGACTCTATAACAAGTATGTTTTCTCTGTGTCTCAGATAAAGTGTGCTCTTGCTCTCAAACGATGCAAGAAGATTCTGGAAAAGTGCAAACCCGAACCTACTCCACCCTGAGGTGCAGTGAACCTGATCACGAAATTTGTTTTCAAACATGTTGTATCTCAAGACGGATTTATCAGAATTAATAACAAATTAAATCAAATAGCTGTCATGGTAGATGAAGAAAAATTTTGAGGGATAAAGCTGATTGAAAAGACACCTCAACTTGTGTGGTTGTTGTTTATATCAATTTAAGTGGGGTGCCTAACTAGCACTGAGTTTTAAAAAGCTGAGGTTCTAAACCCTTTAACTTCCAGAGTTGATTAACACGTAACTTCTCCCAATGACATCCACACATTATCCAGCCAATATGTAATGAGAATACTCAGACCTATCAGGTAGAAGTTAGAAGCCTTGATCTAAAATCAAGTTTCGTGACTTATTTACAAGGAAATGTGTAGCAGCTAAAAAAGAGAATTGACAGTCAGATCTTAAGAGTTAAAGGGTTGAGCTGAAAGTCGTGGCAACAAAATACGAGTGAAATCCCAGGATGAAGGAAAAATTAAACTTATCGTGTTATTAAAGTGCTGCCCCTTATGGTTTTTTATCAAAAACCGACTGGAAAAACTAGAAATACAACCAAAAACCGTTAATTTTGATCTCAACTCATCACGCTGGCGCCTGTCACTTCGCCCGATTGGCTAAGACAAAATGTTAATTTACAGTTCAATATTACGGAGTCAATATCTGAGGAGTGATTCTTTTCTTTAATTTTCTTTGACAAAACCTTAGTGAACGCGCTAGATATTAGACGGGCTCTTATTGGTAGCAAGGTGCGTCAAGACAAGAATATCCTCGCTCTTTTACGTGTTACGTTAAGTTGCGATAATTTTTCGAATTTTCGTTTCCTTTCTGACACAATACCCATAGGAGGTATCTGGAAATTGTCTTTAGCCCCGTATTACAGGTATTGATCCCCCTCATTAGAAGCCGATTTTTCAAAAGTTCCTCTTTATACTCTGTTAAGGATGGCTGTTCCCCCCCCTCCGTTCCCCCTAAAAAACCATGTGATCCCCAAAATCCTCCAACTCCACCCCATTCCCCTAGCGGATGATTGGTCCCTCAGGCAAACTAATATAGGAAGTAGGATAAATTACACGTTGTTCTGGCTAACGTAACTTCAACAGACTCAAAAGACGTTTTTCTTAGATTTTCCTAAAATCCTGTGGTCAACGAACATTAAGGTCCCGAAAACCTACCCATTCGGGGTTGGTGTGTGTAATATAAAATAAGCTTAACTTTATCGTCAATATATTTAATTAATATAGTTAATATATTATTAACATATATTTTTTTACTTTTAATTAGTTATAACATGTTTTAATGGAGTGAACAGGATATATTTTAGAGGACAAGTCAAATCAATTACATAAGTTGACACATTATTCCGGCCAACGTAACCTCAAAAAACGTAACGTGCCACTCTGTATTTGGTATATCAATACTATGCTTCGCCGTGACCTCGAGACATGAGGGAGAACTGATAAATTTCCAAAAACCCTGTATACTTGGATAATCAAGGATGGGAAATGAATGAGATTGATTCAAGGAAAATATGTAAAATAATCGGACGCCTATAATCAAGCGGATGCTCTGGGAGAAGGGGCAATTTTACATTAAGGAGGATCTTAATTTGGTTTCATCTCCGTTGGTAACCGAAATGGAGACATTTTAACCAACAATAACAAAGCAGCTCATTAACAGCTGCTAGATGGTTTCCAAGAGTTTCATATCTCACCATTTTAGCTTCTTTTCACGAGCAATTCTGGATCTTGAAGAATCTTTGGACAACCCTGTGAGCCAGTTTTCATCTTCCTCAATATCCTAATATTGAGGCCATTTACAATGTCATGTGTGCGTTACAACTGACCCTTAATTGAAAACCCTTCTTCTACTTCTACCTACGAACCCTGGTCTACCATCTACTCAGTTAAGAATTCAAATCGGAACAATATTTTGCTCAGTTTAAATAACAATATTGCAGTTTTCCATACCTTAGACGTCCTGTGGGTTCCCTTTTCTACAGAATAAAATCTGGCGCGCACACTCTCACTATTTTAACAGGCGTATATGACGAACCCAAAAGGGGTAAAAGAATTAAGTCCCTCTCTGTACCGTTTTAATGAACGTTCGTCTAGGGTTAACATGCAAAGTTCTCATAATCATAATTTAATCATGCGTTCGGCGTACGTGCCAAACTCCTAAATTATTCTGAAACACGATAGAGTGGGTGAAAACCCCTTTTTAAGCAATTTTTGCCGTAATTTACTCCTCCTCTCTTTCATACCCTCTCAGCTCTGTGACTCTAATCGGTGGGAAAATTGACCCTGGTATACGCCGCAACACAATTCTAAATCAGGCAAGCCGTTGGGTTCGAATTCGTTTGTGTTTTACGTATTACCCTTTAAAGTCAAAAGTCTTGCAAAGACCGCATCTGAATTTTTTGAAGTATTTTTGTTTTCTACCATTACAAACTGTTTGCCTTTTAGCGTGCAGGCGTGTACAATGAAAGATTGGACGAAGACGTTCGTGAGAAAACCATGATAGAAAGTTTACATAGTCAACCGATCTGATAATGATACCATATGCTTCCTGCGTGAGAAACAATCTTATTATCGCTAACATTTCGGAAGTTATAAGGATAATTATAAAATCCATCCTTTTTTCGACGATTACTTCTTACTTCTCTTTCCTTTACGTTACGAGAGTGAAAGCGTGATAGTATTAAGACTAGCGCTTCTTTGATAAGAGAAACAAAACTCTCGACCAAGTGTAACCATCGATAAAAGCTTCATCGTTTTGCGGCGTTGTGCTGCGCGCTATTATCAACTGATCCAAAGTACAGTATAAAGAATTCAGCATTTCCAGGTATCTTGTTTGGGGTTTATAACAATAGTGAATTGTTGCGCTTTTTTCCTCTCGTCCTCTTGCCGAGTATAGTTCGTGAATGTTGTTAACAACAAAGCATCCTTATCGTGTTAATAAATTTATAATCAACTGGTTCGCTGATGAAAAAAATATACTGAGAGACCAAGCATAGTGAAGGGCATTTTATCCCTTGGGTACCCCTGTGTGAACAGCACCCTTATGAGCAACTTTCCCAACCCCTCTCCCCAAGTGCCGCTAATTTGACACGCCGACAATTTTGCGACGATTTGAAATTCATCTTCGTCGAGTCTCGGCACAGTTTCCTCAGCGCAACAAACAACAAAAGGCTTTTGTTTGAACTTGTGGAGTCGAATTTAACCCACAACAATGGCCCATTTCTTGACACGGTTGTGCAAACTGTCTGCTTTTTGCGCGTGAGATTTGTACAAACAGAGAGTTTTGTTCTCCACTTTGTCGATTGTCATGTAGGAACAGGCCACGCTGGCCTTTAAAAGTAAGCAGTTTTCGATGTCATCATATTGCCTCATAAACAAAAAAAGGTCTGTTATCGAAAGAATACTCTTCTACTAGTCCTGTTTTTCGGAGCTTCGGTTGCTTTGGCAGAGTTGCCTTTTGAGAATCCAGCTCTCGATGAACTCTCGGATGAAGATAGAGAAGAAATCACTGAAGAATTGGAAGAGGTGGAAAATGATCCCTTCTTTTTAGAACCACCTAGTGGTCCCCCTTCACCCTCACCTCCACCCGAGGTAAAGTTCAGTTTGTTGTTTTTTTGTTAATTTAGGCATTTCACCGATAAACGAAAACTGACACACAGAAGCAATCGGTCATTAAGATTGTTAATGAGTACGTTAGAAACTCAACCTGTACGCTGGTTCTAGTCAAACTATTCTTTTGATTGTTTATAATCAAAATTTGATCTTGAAAATAGTTTAAAAAAAAATGAACATTTCTCCAAACTAAGTTTGCATTTAGGCTTGTTACCACCAGTCCACAGAACTCTGTAGTCAAAAATTAACAGAGTACTGTTTAGTCTCGAGAGATGCACAAAAACAAAAAAAAACAGGGTAATCAAAACCTGCCTTTTGCTGTAGGAACATACAGGCCACGTGAAACGAAGTAGAAGCGAAAAAGTTTCCCTGATTTAGAAACCTTCAAATTACGTTATGAAACATGCAAGTTAAATTTTTTCAAGAAGGAAAAAGCTCTCTTCTTTGCAGACTCACCACGGCTTCATTTCTACCCGGCTGATCTTGTTAAAGCAGAAATATAACTACAATGGCTCTCTCGCCATATGATCATGTGCTCTTCTGAACATTAAGGAAACAAATTCTTCAGAATAATCCCCAGCCGGGAGCCGAGATTTGTCTCTAATACATCAGTATATTAACGACACAAAATATTTCGGCGTTCTGTTTGCAGAAAAAGTACACAGGTCGTCCCAGGCCCAGTGGTCCAAGGCCAAGTCGTCGCCCAAGGCCCCGTCTTTCTTGTCAAACGCGAATTGAGAAACTACGAATAGCACAATGAACCGCGTTACTCGAGCCAAAATATGTCAAAAACTGATGCCTTACACTTCATCAGAATGCCCAAACACACTTCTGTTCTATGTATTGCGAAAGGCATATTGATCATCACATCCCCCTGGCCCTTAAGAGAGATATAAGGAAGAGTGCCTACCAAAGTACCAGACTAATTTGATCGTCTTCGCTTTGAAATCTTGCTAAGACCAACGTTTAACAAACAGTGTGGCTGAATCCGCGCGAAGTTATTCGTTTACTCATTTCTTAGGGGTATTTGTTAAATTCCTCTACCAAAAATTATTTTTAATCTAATTATTTCGCGATCCTAAGCTCGGTGTAACTGTAGATCACCACACCGCGGAACCTCTGCAACCTGCAATCCTTCATTTTTTGTGAAATAAATAAATAAAAATAAAAACTAAAAAGGCCTGAACACTGTTGGAAAGTTCGTTTTCGGGTATAAAGAAGATTACTTTAAAGAAAAATATGTTTTCATTTCCTTGAGGTCCAACTTTAACCCCGGCGACATTCACCGTATCAGGGTATGTAATGTCATATGCAGCAACCAGCAGTCACCTAACCCGAGTGTTGATAATTGTACCATGATTTGAAAGCCCTAACGATTTGGGTACCGCGATATCCGAGTAACGCCTCATCCGAAGGCTCTCAGCAAACCTTCAAACTGGAATTGGCGGCCTTTGATTCTGTTTTCATGAAGTAGCTAGAATGAGGAACACGAGCGTTAAGTAACATCATCGCCGGTGATGCAATGTCACCGTAGATTAAAAAAAACATATTTCTCTTTTAACATCATCTTCTTCATAAACGAAAACGAAATTTCGAACAGTGTTGAGGTATTTTCATCTTCTATTTTATTTCCTTATTATTATTATTAATATTTTTTTTTTACAAAAACACGAATGGTTCCACAGGTTCCGCAGGTTCCGGAGATTCCGCAGTCTGCTGATCCATAGTTTAGTACTACCCGTTGTGGGCCAGTTACCGATGTGCATAGTGCATAATCACCTCTTCCCAATTTCAAATTAGTGAGAAATCTTACATCGGTGGATACTTTTTCAACCACGACATAATTTTCTCATTCGCTTGCGGAGGAGTTTAAACAGGAAGATTAGTGCAGTTTCCCCACAGTCAGCTATCTATTTATTAAACAATGAAAACAAGTATGTCGTCTGTATTTGAGCAGATAAAGAGTTCGTGAGCTTAACATAGAAAGTCAATTTAACTAAGTCAAACGTTCTGATAATGTCAACCAAGCGCTCGGTACATACCAAACAAAGCTTACCTCAGTGATCTTTTCTAAGTAATTTCTGAATCAAAGAAAAGAAGGGTGAAAACTGTTTTATTCGAAATTTTTTTGGCCCCTTTTCCCCACACCTGCTCTCTACCCTCATTCCTCCTGGCTCTTTAGGCCTTAATCAGTAGAAAGGCTGACCGAGGTCAGAATCGATGCGCGATGCTTAAACGTGCCAACCGTTGGTTTCATTTCAGTATCAATTTACTCAGCGAGATTTTCATAACAATTCTTAAAAGAATCACATCTGGATTTGTCTTTTTTTCTGACCTTACTGTTTAAGCTGTTTGCTTTTTACGCGCGAGATTTATACAATAAACGCTCTGGCAGAAGAAGTTCGTAAGATAAACATATAATGTTTACACAGCTCGGTCAACCGTTCTTTTAATGATAACACATGTTTCTTGCATGTAAACAGTCGTAATATCGCTAACATCTCATAGCGACCTTAATCTATTGCATAGACTCCTTTTTCAAAAGACCACTCGTTTTGTAACAAACCGAAGGTACCATCGTCTTTTCGACAAGCACTTTGTCACTTTTACAGCCCTCTTTTAAGGTTTTATCCGTGGGACAGGAAATTTACTACGTTCGGTATGAAATATTTAATAAAGGATTACAATGGAATTAAACTTTCTGTCATGTCTGTGATCTTTCGTTAAGTAAACTGTTTACCTTTTGCGCGTAAGATTTGTACAAACAGAACTTGAACAAAGGTAGCTTTGTTCTACTCTTTGTTGATAGTCATGCAGAAACAGGTTGTGCTGGCCTATAAAAGTAGTCAGTCTCCGAGTTCATGACATTGCCTCACAAACAGAACAGCATCGTTATCGAGATGAATACTCTTCTGCTGGTTCTGTTTTTCGGAGCTTCCGTTGCCTTAGCAGAATTGCCTTTTGAGAATCCAGCTCTCGTTGAACTTTCAGATGAAGAAGGAGAAGAAATCACCGGAGAGTTGAAAGAGGTGGAAAATGATCCCTTCTTTTCGGAGCAACCTAGTGGTCCTCCTTCACCCTCACGCCCGCCCAAGGTAAAGCTCAGTTTTAGTCATTTCTCTAATAAAGTCAACTTGACCCTCACTGAAGTAACCGGTCATTGACGAGTTTCTAATTTCTACGAGTGAAACTCAAACTAGATGTTGGTGAAAACTCAAACTAGGTGCTGCTAGTCAAAAACTCATTTTTTATTGAAACTAAGCGTAATTTCCCGGCGATTGATATTGAAATAGTTTAGAAAGATATAGCATGACTTCTTAATCAAATTTACACTAAAGGTTTTTATCAACCATCCTCAAGACTCTGAAGACGAAAATTAACAGCTTTGTCTACTTTTGAGGGATGTACAACACTAAACCAGGATAAATGAAACCTGCCTCTCAATGGAGGAAAGTACAGGCTAAGTGAAACGAAGTGGTGATGAATACCTTTCCCCGATTTAAAAACATTCAAAATACTTACAATAATCAAAGTTAACAGGTTGACTATTTTAAAGAGCAGAACCCCCACCCCCACCCCCAACCCCTTCCCTATTTTTTATTTTGCATACTCACCATGGTTCCATTTCTATTCACCTTTTCTTTTCAGTTTCCAGCAATAATATATAGATCTAACCAAGCCTAAAAGCTTTTTTTTTCCCGCACGTCTCGAGGGCACAACGCCTTGCACAGGCCAGGACTAGAACCCGGGTCGTCCGACTCGGACAAAGCCGTGAAGTTGGCGTGCCCGCGGTACAATTGACCACGCATGTTAAAAGTAGCACCTTGTACGGTCATACGGTCGTACGGTCGTACATCGAAATTTTTTCGGCTTGATGGGTTGCTACTATTTTGTTTAATTATGGGGCTACGCTCTGCGAGCTCCGCTATAATTACGCTGGTTCTTTTGCCATGTGATCGAGTCCTTATCCTAATCATTACTACATCAGATGCTTCGGAATGACTACACGCCAGGAGGACAAGATTTTATAGATTTTAAACCAACTGAGGATTTTTTTTGTCTCTAATACATCAGCATATCAACGACAAAAATACTTTGTCGTTTCTAATACGGCATTTTCATTCTTTTTACAGAAATATTGCCTTTACAGGTTACGTCAGTGCTTGGAGAAACCTGGCGCGAACAAGGAAAAATGCAAATTGTTATTTAAAGAGTGCAGTAAGCGTCGGCCAACAGGTCGCCCCAGGCCCAGTCGTCCAAGGCCCAGTCATCGTCCTAGGCCCAGTTATCGTCCCAGGCCCAGTCATCGTCCTAGGCCCAGTTATCGTCCCAGGCCCAGTCGTCGTCCTAGGCCCAGTTATCGTCCCAGGCCCAGTCGTCGTCCCAGGCCCAGTCGTCGTCCCAGGCCCAGTCGTCGTCCCAGGCCCAGTCGCCCAAAGCCAAGTCGTCGCCCGAGGACCACTCCTCCCTGAAATAACTGTCAACCCGGTCAAGAAGAGGAAGTTTGATTAAATCATGTCAAGTCGCCAGACGCATATAACGAAAAAAAATAATAATCATAAAACAAAAATATATAGATGTCATGGATGATGAAAGTAATTTCTGGGATTAAAGTTGATTCAAAAGTCATATTGTTTGTTGTTTGTACCCGTCGATCTAAGTGCAGCGCTAAGCTACTGCTAAATTTAGAAAAGCTATGGCTCCCAAGTTGTTTTTCTTAGCAATAAAACACATCTTTCTTTTATCAAAGATGACATGAATACTCCAGTAATTTTAAAGAATAGGTCTATAGAATAAAGTTTTGGCAAAAAAATTTAAAATTTTCGGTCACAATTAAAATATCAGATTTTCCACAAGATCCCGACGAAAATACATCACCTAATATCAAATAAATCATAGGTGACAAGTGAACAGCTGGTTATTGTAATTTTCCCATGATGCAAGAGAGGTTGAATGGAACTTGGAATCAAGGCTATTAAGCGTGAAATTTAAATCGCGGATAGTTTTCTGTAGATTGCAGTACATTTTTGTAAACGTTCACCTCCTGTCGTGATTCAGAGCTCGTTAAAAAAAAAAAACTTTCATCCATCTTCCTTCTCCTCAATTCTGGCTCACTCTCAGTGTTACAGTGATAAGTGTTACAGTGATTAATTACTCTCACCTTCCCAACCGATACACATTTTTTCAAAATAAATTTTTTTATTGATATTCACATCGAATATTCGGAAGCTAGGTAGTAATTGGCTACGTGATGAATTTCACGTTACCAATTTTTTCTCCATTAAGTTAATTTGCATTTCCATTGCGGAAAGAGGCAAGCACATATTTTATTCCTATTTAGTTTACACAATTGTCAATGAAATTGAAGAATGGATATACTTTTAGAGGTCACTTTCAGAAAAAAAAAAAAAAAAAAAAAAAGAGAGAGAGAGAGAGAGAGAAAAAGAGTGAAAAAGAATCACTTTCGGAAGACACTCAAAATTTCAGTTATTATAATGATAACATAATGACTTTCAACACATAAAATTACCTATCACTTTTCTGTAACTTTGCCGGGGTGTCACGGCTGTCATTTTATATAATTTATTCCAAATATTATCACTGAAAGAGCGCAGATTGCACGCAAAGAGAGACATATCTCTCGGACAAAGAATAACATACAGCAATCAGAAAATAACCGGTTACGTTCGATGAAGTTACTCTTTCCTACTTTGTCCTTAACCTCATTAATTAGCGATCCTTGAATATCAACCGTTCGTTTCCCGACGCGGAGTGCATAATTACCTCTTCCTACTTCCAAATTTGTGGGAAGTCTTACAATACCAATTTATATTCTCTCCATGATACCTTTCAACCAGGTCACAAAATCTTTCTAGTTTGAGCTAAACAGATGGATGCAGTTTCCTTAAACTTTCAAAATCAGCTTGGTTTTTCTTTTGTTTTGGATCCATATCTAGCGCGCATATTGCCTCCAACCCTCCCTTCTCATGCAGTTTTTGTTAACAGAACTTTTATATCGTGCTAAAGAAGAAAATGAGTTTTTAGCTCTCTACTTTTTTCCCTTCGTTCTCTTAACTTATAACATCTTATTCATTTCTTTGTTTATTTTTCGTCATTCACTCAGTCTACAATCTATCTTGTTAACAATCCAAAGAGCCACAAAATAAAAGTATGCTTGCTAGTGTAAGGTCAGTAATTATATCAACAGGAACATGCAGTTTTCTGTTACTTTAATTTCAACTTTCTTCAGGTTTTCCCATTATTATGATTTCGAATTTGACGTGGTGTTTTTACTGTTTTAACAGTCGTTCATGAAGTTCAAATAGAAAAAGGTAGATAAAAAAACAATATGATTCCTCCTACGTACCAAATTTTGGATTGATTTCACTTTTTATCAGCTATTTAAACAACACTGTCGTTAATCTCTAAGCATATAATGAGTTCGTGAAGAAGAAACAGAAAGTTTACATAACTGAGTTAACTTTTTTGTTGATTTTTATATGGAACTTACTTGTTAAACAAAGCTGATATCTTAACTATTTCGTATCTTACGCTGTAGAATCCTTACCACACGGAATCTTTACTTCGTGATATCTCTTTTTCAGACGAGATTTGTATCATCTTTTAGAAATAACTATACAGAGCCATAACTAGTTAGCAGGCTACCTCAAACAGGCCACCTGTGAAATTCATCACAGGATAGTGTTATACCGTATTACGATATCTAAAAACACTAGATGCATTCATAAGACTGTTGTAACAGTCGTTCATGAAGTTCAAATAGTAAAATGTAGATAAAAAACACTATGATTCCTCCAACGTGCCAAATTTTGGATTGATTTGTCTTTTTATCAGCTATTTCAACAAGAATTTCGTTTATCTCTAAGCATATTATGAGTTCGTGAATAAAAAACAGAAAGTTTACATAACTGAGTTAACTATTCTGTTTCTTTTAAACGTGGGATTAACTTGCTAAACAAAGCTGATATTATAGCTATTTCGTATCTTACGCTTTAGAATCCTTGCCACACGGAATCTTTACTTCATGATATCTACTTCTCAGACGAGATTTATGTATGTCATCTTTAGTAATAATTATAACAAAACCTGACTTGGGTTAGTAGGCCACCTTAAACACGCCACCTATGAAATCATGATGACAGGATAATGTGTTATACTGTATTATGAGATCTAAAAATACTAGATGACATAAAGTAAACTGTTTGCCTTTTGCACCGCGGGTGGGATATTTACGCTAACAACGCTTGGGCAAAGACTTCTTCGTCATCTACAATGTCCATTGTAATGTAGAACAAGACACGATTGTCTATAAAAGTGATAGGTGTTCCAGTTAGTTCATGCCATTGCCCTGCAGACAACATAGCAGCGTATTCAAGATGAAATCTCTTCTACTGCTCCTGTTTTTCGGAGCTTCAGTCACATTGGCAAAATCGCCTTTTGAGCATAAAGCTCTCGATGAGTTTTCAGATAAAGAGAGAGAAGATTTGTTGAGAGAGTCGGCTGATGAAGAAAACGATCCGAAACTTATACTACCGACGATCTTTCCTGCTGAAGTAAGCCCAATTTTTTCTACTTTGTGTTTTAAGTATTGCTGTATCAGAAGAAGACTATACCATCGGCAAAAGCAATTATAAGCCTCCCCACTGATATCATCGTTCTTTTATATCAGAAAGACTTTTTTAGGGGATAAAATGATTCACATCAGGTTGAGGCTTAACTTAGTAGGTGACGTAACAACGAGCTTCTTGAGTGTATTCTGACCTCTGCATTTGAAGTGGTAAACCTAATGACACGCGAGTAAAACACCTCTAAAATCCCTTAAAGGGGTTATGAAAGTTATGAAAGCTTATTTTATCATCAACAGAAGTTATGTAAACTTTCACGGGGAATTTGTCTGGCGGTCGCCAAGGATGACTCTTGTAAAAGATTGGCTTGTTACGAGAAATATAAAACCTGCATGGAGTCAAAGCTACCTTATCCACGCCCCACGCCAACTCCGAGACAGGTACGTATGTGAAATGAACATACGAATAAATAGATAATTAGAAATCTGAATGATTGAATGATTGTATGACTAAATGACTGAATGAGGGAATACATGCTAGGTTTTCACTTAAATGTAAGACTTTTGTTTCAACCATGGGAATATAAAGCAAGAGGTTGTGGAGCTATCCGATAGGCTTCTCTGGTGAACAATTATTGTTCCAGATGGGAGCTTTTTATAGAACTTTTAGAGATAGAAGAAGCACAACTTCCTCAGAAATATAAATGAATTCTAGAAATCATAAATCATCGTGGGCCGGTGAACTGCCAAAAAAAGGACGTTACCTTATTGAAAAACTTACCCTCAAAACTTACCATCGATTTTATTCCATCTACAACTAATTGATTTGTGTGAAAAAAAGAAAAAACGTCTTTTTCAACGTAAAATGAAGTAGACATTTTTCAAATAAAGTATCTTTGCCTAAGTAAAGTTAAATTTTTTAGAAAAGAACAACGAATAATAAGGTGTGTTCTTGTAATATTATTTTATTTATTTTTCAGAAAAAGTGTCTCGATATTGGTAAGAAATGCATGGGCAAACCTGGTATTGACTGCACCAACAAGTTATTATGCATGGCTGCTGTTAAAATATGTCTGGGGGTAAATAATCTCCCTGGAGGACCCAGGTACCTTCCCATTGCTCCATGGTGATCAATCCTCTTGTTTCTCTTGAAACTCGTCACTCTTGGCGCCAATTATGGTAAAGAAAGAATGTGATGTAGATGTCATGGATAGATGAATAATTTGGAGGAATAAAGCTGATTTAAAAGCTGTCTGAGCTTGTGAGGTAGTTACTTGTATAAATTCAAACCAAACCTATTAATCTAGCAATCCAGTTACCTTTACTTTCTACACTGGGACTCATCAACGGAAGGCCTGAAGTGAACTTATGTTTAAAAGCCCTCAAATGAGTAGAAAACATACCAATCCGGGTAAAATTATCCTGACCAAGAGATCAAGACAGTGGAAGAAACAAGAAATGTAAGAAAGTAGAAAGGTTCAAACGCGTGCAAAACTTTATTTTCAACATCTGAGGGGGTGGAGAAGGGGAATTAGCTAAGAGCCATATTCCATACTCCCATGAGCTGATACAAGTGCTCAAATGGCAGAATTACGGAGAGGAGGCTTCAAAACAATGTCAGATCTCCCAGTTATGACAGTTACGACTCTCTCGTCATCTTCGTCCCACCATCCCCTTTGCAGTCTTGCCTCCCCGCCTCCCCAACCCCCACCATCCAGCTCCAACGGGGCCTCGCTTATTTTTTGGCTGAATACCTCGAATGATATATAGTCTATCGACTTTCGGTTTCTCAGCCCACCTTCTGCAGAGTACTAAAACGCATGCACTGATGACCAAAGATTTCTACATATGACACGAAGACTCAAATAATTTCACATGCCATATTCCCTCAGCTTTTTCACTTATCTACGATATGTGCCCAATTTTATCGAACTTTGCCGTGGTTTTCATAAAATGTCACACGTGGCGATGGTACTGGTTGGACATTATCGTGAAACGTCCTAAATGGAGAAGCCTGCCAAGACGGAACGGGTCATTTAAAAGGATTCACGTTAAATTATACACCATTTAGGTCTCAAAACCGGCTCCTAAGATATAAAAGATTAAAAATCATGACAAACTTGTTGAAGTATTCCATATTTATTAACAGTCCTGATTCCAGATCAGTGTCCACTAAATAGAGATATATGCTGAATGTTGGCGCAATTTTCAATAAATAAGAGAAGACCGGATTGGCCTCCACGTTACATTTAAAGTGTGCAATAAGCTTAAACCAACAAGTCGCCCTAGACCCAGTTGTCGTCCCAGGCCCAGTCGTCCAAGGCCAAGTCGTCGCCCCAGGCCCACTCCTCCCTAAAGTAACTATCAACCCGGTCCAGACGCATATAACAAAAAAGGAATAATCATCATAAAAAAAATTATGTAGATGTCATGGATAATAAAAGTAACTTCGGAGAATGAAACTGCTTCAAAGTCCCATTGTTTGTTGTTTTTACCTAGCGATCTATGAGCAGCGCTAAGCTAGTGCTAACTTTAGAAATGGTAAGGCTCTCAACTTGATTTTCTTGGCAATAAAACACATCTCTCTTTTATCCAAGATGACATGAATAGTCCAGTTATTTCAAAGAATAGATCTATAGAATAAAGTTTTGACAAAAAAAATTTAAAATGATCGGTCACAATTAAAATATCAAAAACTTTCCAAAAGATCTCTACGAAAATAGATCACCTAATATCAAATAAAATCATAGGTGAGATGTGGACAGCTAATCATTATAATTTTCCCATGATGCAAGAGAGGTTAAATGAAACTTGGAATCAAGAATGTTATTCTGAAATTTGAATCGAGGATAGTTTTTTACAGATTATGGCGCATTTTGTAAACGCTCACCTCCTGTCGTGATTCAGAGCTCGTTAAAAAAAAAAAACTTTCATCGATCCTCCCTCTCCTCAAATCTGGCTCTCTCTCAGTGCTATAGTGATAAATGATACAGTGGTTGATTGCTCTCACCTTCCCAACCATTACGCATTTTTAAATGGAACTTCTTTTAAATTGATATTCACGTCGAATATTTAGAAGGTAGTAAATAGCTACGTGATGAGTTTCACGTGACCAATTTTTTCCTCTATTTAGCTAATTTGCACTTCCTTTGCGAAAAGAGGCAAGCACATATTTTATTCCTATTTAGTTTGCACAATTGTCGATAAAATTGAAGAATGGATATTCTTTTAGAGGTCATTTTCGGTTGCAAAAAAAAGAAAAGGGTGAGAAAAAAAGTGAAAAAGAATCACTTCTCAGAAGACACTCAAAATGTTTTAATAATGATAACATACTGACTTTCCTCACATAGAATTACCCATCATTTTTCTGTAACCTTTGCAAAGGTGTCACGGCTGTCATTTCATATAATTTTTTCCAAATCTTATCGCTCAAAGAGCGCAAATTGCGTGCAAAGAGAGACACTCTCTCGGACATAGAATAGCGTGCAAATGGCAGCATAAGCAATCAGAGAATAACCGGTTACGTTCAATTAAGTTACTCTTTTATTCTTTGTCCTTTACTTCATTAATTAGCGTTCCTGGAATATAAACCGTTCATGTGGGCCAGTTTCCGACGCGGAGTGTAGAATTACCTCTTCCTACTTCCAAGTTTGTGGGAAGTCTTACAGCGATGGATACCAATTTATATTTTCTTCTTGATACCTTTCAACCAGGTCACAAAATCTTTCTAGTTTGGGCTAAACAGATGGATGCAGTTTCCTTAAACTTTCAAAATCAGCTTGGTTTTTCTTTTGTTTTGGATCCGTATCTTTATTGCCCGCAACCTTGCCTCCTATATACCGCTTTTGTCTAAAGAACTTTTATCCAATTCTTGTTTGCTATTATAGTGGTATAAAAGGAAATGAGTTTTTAAGCTCTTTACTTTTTTCCCTTCGTTCTCTTGACTTATAACATATTATTAATTTCTATCTTTATTTTTCGTTATTCAGTCGTCTACAATCTATCTTGTCAACAATCCAAAAAGCCACAAAATTAATGCTTGCTTGTGTATGGTCAGAAATTATATCAACAGGAAAATGTGCAGTTTTCTGTTACTTTAATTTTAACTTTCTTCAGGTTTTCCCTGTTTTATGATTTCGAATTTGACGTGGTGTTTTTACTGTTGTAACAGTCGTTCGTGAAGTTCAAATAGTAAAAAGGTAGATAAAAAACACTATGATTCCTCCTAAGTACCAAATTTTTGATCGATTTGTCTTTTTATTAGCTATTTCAACAAGAATTTCGTTTATCTCTAAGCATATTATGAGTTCGTGAAGAAAAGCAGAAAATTTACATAACTGAGTTAACTATTCTGTTTAATTTAAATGTGGGACTTGTTAAACAAAGCTGATATCATAGCTATTTCGTATCTTACGCTTTAGAATCCTTGCCACACGGAATCTTTATTTCATGATATCTACTTCTCAGACGAGATTTATGTATGTCATCTGTAGTAATAACTATAACAAAACCTGACTTGGGTTAGTGGACCACCTTAAACAGGCCACCTGTGAAATTCATGACAGGACAATGTGTTATACCGTATTACGAGATCTAAAAATACTAGATGACACAAAGTAAACTGTTTGCCTTTACCGCGGGCGGGATATTTACGCTTACAACGCTTGGGCAAAGACTTCTTCGTCATCTACAATGACCATTTTAATGCAGAACAAGACACGATTGTGTATAAAAGTGATAGGTGTTCCAGTTAGTTCACGCCATTGCCTTGCAAACCACATAGCAGCGTATTCAAGATGAAATCTCTTCTACTGGTTCTGTTTTTCGGAGCTTCAGTCACCTTGGCAAAATCGCCTTTTGAGCATTCAGCTCTCGATGAATTTTCAGATAAAGAAAGAGGAGATTTGTTGAGAGAGTTGGCTGAGAAGAAAACGATCCGCAACTTCAACTAACGACGATCTTTCCTGCTCTCGTAAGCCCAATTTTTCTACTTTGTAGCAGGTGATGTAACAACGAGCGTGTTGAGTATATTCTGACCTCTTCATTTGATAAAGAGGTCAACTTAGTGACACGCGAGAAAAACACTTCTAAAACCCCTTAGAGAGGTGATGTGCGTAAATGAAAGTTATCGGAAAGTTTATTTTATCATCAACATAATTTATGTAACCTTTCACGGAGGATTTGTCTGGTAGTCGCCAAGGTTAACGCTTGTAAAAAATTGGCTTGTTATGAGAAATATAGAACCTGCATCGAGTCAAAGCTACCTTATCCACGCCCCACGCCAACTCCGGGCGAGGTACGTATGTTAAATGAACATACGAATAAATAGAGAATTAGAAATCTGAATGATTGAATGATTGTATGTCTAAATGACTGAATGAGGGAATACATGCTAGGTTTTCATTTAAATTAAAGACTTTTGTTTCAACCATGGGACTGTAAAGCAAAAAGTTGTGGAGCTGTCCTATAGGCTTCTCCGGTGAACAATAATTGTTCCAGATGGGAGCTTTTTCTAGAATTTTCAGAGATAGAAGAAGCGCTACTTACTCGGAAGTATAAATGAATTCTAGAAATCAAAAATCATCGTGGGCGGGTGAACTGCCAAAAAAAAAAGACATCAACTAATTGAAAAACTTACCCATCATCAAAACTTAGCATCTTTCTTGTTCTATTTACAACTGATTGGTTTATTTTGTGAAAAAAAGAAAGTTTCTTTTAACGTAAAATGCGATGGACATTTTTAAAATGAAAATATCTTTGCTTAAGTAAAGTTAAAGGTTTAAGAAAGAATAACGAATTATGAAGTATGTTCTTGCTTTGTTATTTTATTTATTTTCAGAAAACGTGTCTCGATATTGGTAAGAAATGCATGAAAAAAACCTGGCATTGATTGCAACAATAAATTAATATGCAGGGCCGAAGTTAAAATATGCCTGGAGGTAAATAGTCTCCCTCTAACTGGAAGACCGAGGTACCTTCCCATTGCTCCATGGTGATCAATCCTCTTCGAATGTTTCCAATTATGCTAAAGAATGAATGTGATGTAGATGTCATGGATAGTTGAATAATTTGGAGGAATAAAGCTGATTTAAAAGTTTTCTGAGCTTGTGAGGTAGTTACTTGTAAAAATTCAAACCACAACTATTAATCTAGCAATCTAGTTACCTTCAGTTTATACACTGGGACTCATCAACGGAAGGCCTGAAGTGAACTTATGTTAACAAAAATGTGTTTGAAAACATACCAATCCAGGTAAAAATTATCCTAACCAAGAGATCAAGGCAGTGGAAGAAACAGGAAATATAAATGTAGACTTCTTATTTTTTTCTTCAAAGATTAATAGAAAGGTTCAAAAGCGTGCAAAACTTTATTTTCAACATCTGAGGGCCTAGAGAAGGGGAATTAGCTAAAAGCCATATTCTACACTCTAATGAGCTGATACAAGTGCTCAAATGGCAGAATTACGGAGAGGAGGCTTCAAAACAATGTCAGATCTCACAGTTATGACAATTATGACTCTCTCGTCATCTTAGTCTCCCCATTCCCTTTGCAGTGTTGTCTCCCCGCCTCCCCTCCTCCCCAACCCCCACCATTCAGCTCCAACAGGGCCTCGCTTATTTTTCTATGACCAGACACGTTGGCTGAACACCTCGAATTATTTATAGTATATCGACTTTCGATTTCTCAGCCAAAAGATCACTTAAAACGCATGCACTGATGACCAAAGATTTCTACTTATGACATGGAAACTCAAATAATTTTCACATGCCATGTTCCCTCAGCTATTTCACTTATCTACGATATGTGCCCAACTCTATCGAACTTTGCCATGGTTTCATAGAATGTCACACATGGCGATGGTACTGGTTGGGCGTTATCGTGAAACGTCCTAAATGGAGGAGCCTGCCAAGATGGAATGGGTGCTTTAAGAGGATTCACGTTAAATTATACGCCATTTAGGTCTCAAAACTGGCTCCTAAGATAGAAAAGATTAAAAATCATAACAAACTTGTCAAAATATACTATACTTATTAACAGTTTTGATTCCAGATCAGTGTCCACTAAATAGAGATATATGCTGAATGTAGGCGCAATTTTCAATAATTAACAGAAGACCTAATTGGCCTCCACGTTACTTAAAATACATCCAATATTTGTTAAAAAAAATTTCCATTGCCCAAATAAGCATAGAAACATTACCAAGTTAAATTTATTACATTCCTTCATACTTACTTTTGCGCGTTTAGCGCGCGAATCATCTTTTGTATCAGTCTGCTTGCTAGATTGCTCTCGAAGAAGGAATTCTTTTTGCTCATCACTTAAAAGCCTCCGAGGGGAAAGGGGGCAAATGGTGAAACTGCAAATCTGCCAAAACTAAAGAAGCGCCGAGTAATAAAAACGTAAACAGAAATAGAGAATTCATCTTGGGTAGAGTGCTTTGCTGTTTGTGATCCAGCCAGAGTTATCTTTTATAAGCCTAGGAGAATTATTCGCACAACCGAGAATATTGAAATTGTTTATTTATGTAAATCTTTAAATACCGCGGCGAGAGAAAATGAGCAGTTTAGCAGGTAAACTGAAAATAAATGTAATGAGAATTTCGAAAACTTGGGAAGGACCTGCCTTTCCTTTTGTAAGCCTAAGAAACCTAATCACATAGCTGAAAATACACAACTGTTTATTTATGTAAATCTTTACGTACTTCGGCAAAAAAATGAGGAGTTTAGCGGGTAAACTGCTAAGAGATGTTATGAAAATTTCGGAAACTGGTATCGGTTTCCGTTTGGCGTTTTGTGTTTTGCGAAATAAGCTACACCATACGCTTGCGAATTGTTTATGCGCACTTTGCGCGCTCTTCGTCGGTTGAAAATAACTTGTGTTTGTAATTCTGAAAGCGACGCCCTTTACATTGCCCGTTTGCGTTTGTTTCAACGTAACAATTCCCTGAAAATAATATAACTTATCATTTGCAGAAAGTGACTTTTTTTCTCGGTTCCAACACTGATTAACAAGAGGCATCGATTTGCCTGTTGAGTGATATGAATGATGCAACATCCGCTGTACTTTATTAGTCCCTGAAAAGGGTGCGCCGCTATTATTGCGCAAAATGGAACATCACCCTAATAATGGGCTTCACAGTAAAATAAAATACTATGTTCTCAATTATTACTGGTTGCCTCGTAATGGCAGTTTAATTCTTTTTCCGATCCCACCTGCATTTGTGTCCCCCCTTTTCCCTCTTCATTCTCCCCTTCCCTCCCCCCCCTTTACTAAACCAGCATTGGCAGGCCGCGCCGGCTTTTTATTTGAACGGTACGGCAGTAATGACAATAACGGAAATAAAGATAATAATAATATAAAACAATAATAACAGTAACTCTCACATCTTAGTTTTTCAAGCATGCGCGGTGGCGGCATCCACGAACGGTGCCACCAGGCCACTGAGTTAAGACTTCTTTATATCATTCAGTTTCTCTCAATTTTTGGTGTTAATGTTGCGTTAAACACTGCCACATTTAGTGCGAGTTTTCTCGAAGCAATCGTTAAGGACTTTGGATTTAAAGTTTTTATATTACATGGTTAGTCACCGCTCGCGGCAATAGAAAACAACAGTGAAAGAGCTGATAAGCGGGAAATTTAACTCTTCGAAGAAGTCGAAGTAAATGTAACTTATTGACTTATGATTCTAGAGCCAACCTCTCCTCATAACATTATATGATAGCTGCATGTAAGAAAGAGCCTCAGATGAGTTTTGAATGCTTTATTCCCCAAATTTTTTTCAATTATCTATGATATCTACGAGATCTTATTTTAATTTCCCATGGTGGTTATGCGACATATGGCACAGCAATTAGATTGGAGAACGAGATATGATAAGTGCCAAGTAGATATTCAGTTTTAACGCTTCCAAGATGGACGCCAAGTCGGTCGCCAGGTCGGTCGCCAGGTCGGACGCCAAGTCGGTCGCCAAGTCGGACGCCACGTCGGACGCCACGTCGGACGCCACGTCGGACGCCACGTCGGACGCCACGTCGGACGCCAAGTCGGACGCCAAGTCGGACGCCAAGTCGGACGCCAAGTCGGACGCCAAGTCGGTCGCCAAGTCGGTCGCCACGTTGGTCGCCAAGTCGGACGCCAGCTGGGTTTTCCGGTCGGAAACCCAGTAGGCTTTCCGGATGGACGCCAAGTCGGCCACCAGGATGGACGCCAGGTAGGATACCAGCTGGGTCTGGGGTTCCATGATGGACGCCAACTGGGGTTCCAGGTAGGCCAGTGCCTTTTTTCCTGAAATATCAAAGATGCATAGTTCACTTAAAACCGGTTTTGTATCTTACCAGAGGGATTCGATCTGTTAGTGTCAGCACTCGCTTAATAGACTTGTCCACTGCTTTTCGTTTAAATTTATCGTAAATTTAATTTGTTTCAAGTTTAAAGGAGAATTATGCATACGAAATCGTCTACTTTATTCCCCACCTTAGAAAAGTAAATATAAAAATCACTTTTTACCACTGTTTGAGATTCTGAAACAAAAACCTATCTTCCAAAATTTTTTTACGTACACCATTAATCTTATAATCCGATTTCGATTATCTCCACTCTGAATCTGGAGCACTACTCTCATTTGAATACACATATGATAATAGATACCAATACGATCTGATTTAGTCGCCATAATTCTCAAAGCATTCGACATATTTTGATAGGAGTCTTCTACTTGGGACAGCCCTTCAGCCCCGTACAGAATATATTCTGTACTGCAAGGCTTCCCGCTAATGTCACACTTAAGGAACGATAACATCGCTGCTTTATGTTAACATACTCTCCTCCGTACATCATGGGAGCAGACAGTTTTAACGGGCATTTATCACAGACTCTCAGATGGTGATTGACGAAAGTAACAGTGAAATACAAATTTTGCTTTATATCCCAAATTAGCTCCATCTCAAATTGATTATATCTCTTAATGACATACCAAAAAAGAACGGCAAGGTAAGTAAGGAAAAAGACATTTGCTACAGAGAACGGAAAAAAACACTCACAATAATTGGTTGATGAGGGCGTGATTCATCTTTCGCATTAGTCACTTTGTTTTCGTCATTTAAGAACTCCGAGCGAGCTGCATGATCAAATTGCGATTCTGCTAGGATGGCAGAAGCACCGATTAACAAGGACAGTATTAGAGATTTCATCTCTGCTATAGCACTTCTGTTGGCAAAACAGCTTGATACATGGGGCGATGCTTTTATAGGCGTTAGAAAGGAAGATACAAAACCAAGAACAATAGTAAAACTTTGTTTCGCTACATCTTCACAAACCTCTGCGCAAAAAGATAAACAGTTTAGTTACTCAGATGTAATTCTATTTTATAAAAATTCTAGCAAATTGAAATATACTTTTGTTCTGCGTCTTGCGACACTGGCGGCCCCATACTTGTGATAATTGTCTATGTGTACTTAACACGCTCTTTGTTGGTTGCAATGAACTTATCTTTGGTTAGTATTTCGGAAAAGCGGTGCCTGTCATTACTATGTGTTTGCATCTGTTTCAATACCCTATTTATTTCAGAGGTAATTTATTCGTTGCATTAAGGGGTGTTTCTACTTTTTGTTCTGTGTCAGAGACAAACAAAAGGTATTCATTTGTCTATGGACAAACATACCTGGTACTGCACTTGCCTCACATTATGAGTCTGCGACAAAGGTACAACTTTATTGTTGCTCGAAAGAGTACAATAAACTACAAATATGCCTCTTACCATTGCAAAAAATTATGCCCCCATTTCTCAGTTGACAGGAAGAAAACAGTGATTTCTTTTGCACTGGGTAGATGCATGCAAATTGTTTCTAACAGGCGCCCATGTAAAAAAAGAGCTAGTTTCTCTGCACTGAATGTAAGCATTTCTGTTTGAGAAGTAATGGTAAAAATTATGACATACCGTTTCGTTTCAGTTTACTTTTCAGTGACCTTAATGCAAAGTTAAAGATATAATTGTGTGCCTTTTTGGGCTAAAGAATACGTTCTAAGTTTATTGTGACTTACTTTTTCGGCGCGTGCGAAGTAAACATGAAGAGTTGACATAACTGAGTTGACAACCAGTTCTTTGTAAAATCGTGCAGTTGCAAATATTTTTTTTTTTCCAAGAATCGAGGGACAATTCAGATGTCTGATTTGCATGTCCGACCTCTATCTATGCCCAGTTTGTACTATCAAAGTGGCAATTATATCAGTGGAAAAGCACTCTGAGGAAGCCCCACTGGCTTACATTTGTAGGTGATGGGGGAAACATTTTCAACTCAGAACCTTTACAACCTGCAGAAACAATTCATTTTTAGGTGACATTTAACAAGTTCATGCAAATGTTCCTTTTGTGGAGCTTCAGTTTCTTGGACATAGTTATTGCAATTCTTTACTCCTTAGCCCTTGTGTTGTTCTGAAACAAATTAGGAGCTGGTGAAATTTCCAAGAGTTTCGAGAATTTTTGGGAGAGCTGGCTGGCGAAGAGATTTGTCTTCCCAGGCATCGACTAAAAGCGAGAGATTTCTCCGCTCGGCTTTTTTGGTAAATTTGTCATCGTATCGTTTGCAGCTAAAAACACATGCCCTTTTTTTTAAGTGGGCATCTTGTTCATTTGACTCATTTACAAATTTTGCTTATTTTAGCGAAATATACGAACCTGTTTTCTCTTACTCGCTTCACGAAAGAGAAAACCGCATTTCAGAGCTATCTAATTTCAACACACGCTGTCTCCGTTTGTAAAAACTCTGTTTCAAGTAACAGAGCTCTGGATAAATGCAAATGACGATACATGTCTTAAAGAATAGCTTTCGTACCGCGAATGTTAAATTTTAACACCGGTGGCGTTCATGGCACACTTATTTACCCAAATCTTTATCACCAGTAAAAATTAATATTTTGCTATAAAAGTTAGCACTAAAAGTAACGACGTTTCGACCGCTTAACGGTTATTTGAAAAAAATTTCAAGATTTTGAAGTGTCAGCATAAACTGGACTATTTGATCTTTGAAATGCTTTTATTCACGAACTTAAACCAAAACTGAACAGAGTGATTCGATCGATCAAAAATATTTATCAAATCGATTCACTTTTAATATTTTTTTTTTCGCCTGAGCGTTTTTTCTCATTCTTGCCGCAATTTCTCGTATTGTTTCTAGGTAAATATTTTAGAGTTTTAGTCAGCATATCATTAGCATTTTTACAACTGATTATATAAGCGCATGAAAATGACTGTGAGCGGTCGAAACGTCCTTGCTTTTTATGGTTAATTTTATAGTAGAATCCGTTTCTAAAAAATTGTTGATTCTAATATTATAATATTAATGGACTACTTTTTTCAATCTTTTCTTTCTCTTGTTATTCCGTCCCATCTATTTTATTTTCGTTTTGACGTCCATCGATTGAAATTTATGCCGACGTTCGATTCTCACTGGTTCAAGCTTGTATCATCAATATGAATTATTCGTTTTTGGTCAATTATTTACTTTAGAGTTTTTCTTCAATTCCTCAGCTTTGTCATTCCGGTTTCCGACCCCGCTTCTTTCTAGCTAGCTCCGTTCCGTTTCTGGATATTTCTTCTCGTCTCTGTTGGGACCAAAGCAAGCTAATATTGGAGGCGAACTTGCGAACTGCGCGCTTTATACAGATGAGCACATTGCTGAAGAAGAATACGATCGATAAGAAAAGCGGGCTTATCGCTCCCAGACGATCACCAATACTGATAACTACTGGGTCACAAAGGGTGTAACTAACAATGATTATTGGTGCTTACTCTATACCTTAAGATTTACCTATTTTCATCTTTTCTCTGATAGAACCTCTGCCCCGATATGATCAGTCAATACTGTCGAGAGGCTCAAGGTAATTGTACAAAGAAGTTTTTGTGTGCAGTCTGCAGCAAACACTGCATGGATGAAGACCCAACCCCATTCTCAAACTGATAGTATCATGTTCACTCTTCAGTAAAACCATCCTCTTCACTCAAGATGATTATGCATAAGTAGGTGCAATGGCAAAGGATAGAAAACATTTGCAATCAGAGGTGATGGAGGTGGTTCCTTCAAATATCTTTTATCAAGTGAAATGAAAAGACTGAGTATGAAGTGTTGAATAATTTTTGGTTTGGTTTTATTTCAAGGAAAATTATCAATTCAGTATACATGCTAACACCAACTTGTTTTCGAAAGTACAATTAATCCTTTCCAGATGGAACCTTAATTATTATTTAAATCCGTTCAGTTATTATTTTTAGTCTTGAACTCTTGATATAAATCTACTCAACTCCGAGGAAGATACAACAAAAACAAAGAGAGAAGCACAACGAAATTAACTAGTTGGAGGAAAAGATGGCATGGCAAAGGACCCTATTACGGTCTATCACGTGCTGCCGACAAACAGCCGAGGGCCTTTCCCCGCACCTCGGCATTTCAGAAAGCCGCAAGAATTTCATCTTTCAAATCGACACTCTTAATTCCCACAGTATCAACGAACGCTTTTCATGCGACTTATTTATTATTGTGTCTTTCAAGTTACCATGTTCTCACCAGTAGCGAAGCTCCATCTGTGTGTTTGCTGGATAAACTTCTCACTTTGTGAAACGTCGCCCATGTTTTAAGTTTATAGTTGCTGTTTACTAAAAACAAATTTTCGAAATATGATCGAAATCTTCGGTTGTTTTATAAAAAAAGATCCATGAGAATATTCCCAGTACGTGTCCCATGGAATATCGAAATGTAGTTCGTGCTTTCCATTCCTTCTAGCAACTTGCTTAGAGAAGGTTTTTGCTTTAATTAATGCCTTGAGCCGCAGGACTTCTGTGGGTACAGAGACTGCGCAGAGGAAGGACTCAGCCCCTCCTCCTTTACCCCTCCCCCCACCCCACTTTTTTAGAAAAAAAACTTGTCAGGCTAAGCATGCCCCTATCTCCTGCATTAGTTAGCTGCCATTATGTATATCATGAATAACCTTGATTTAAGCAATAAAATCGAATCAACGGTTAAGAATATATGAAGATCGTATATTTGAACTGCGGATAAAGACATGAATGAAAGTGATCTTCGCAGTGATGTGCACTACTTAGGCAGTAGTGAAAATAAGGCCTGAAAAAAATTCAGGCCTGTACGGGATTTGAACCCATGACCTCTGCGATACCGGTGCAGCGCTCTACCAACTGAGCTAAATAAACCCGTGAAGTGATGAATAGACGGTTAAGAATATATGAAGATCATATATTTGAACTGCGGACAAAGACATGAATGAAATTTTTTTTTTCAGGCCTTATTTTCACTACTGCCTAAGTAGTGCACATCACTGCGAAGATCACTTTCATTCATATTCAAAATCGAATCAGTTGATGATATAGCAGTCGAGTGTGCTTCACCCCATGCGTGTGCTCGCGATAAATCCAACATTAACCCAGGCATATGCATCGCAACAGTTGGACTTTAAACAACCTTCAGCCTTAATTCGAAGTTTGAAACTCGGCCAGTTAAGAAACGTAGAGACTGAAAAAGAGCGCATGTGCCTTTGCACGTAGAAAAAAAAACTATTTTGAAGGAGAACATTTTGAAGGAGAGAAATTAATTAATTGCTTAATTGCTTAATTTCGGGAAATTTTGCACTGGCTAAGATTATTTCAACAACGATGTGCTCACTATTGAGTTAAGATGCGTAAAAATTTTGCTTGCTTAAGGGAATGCACCACACCTGTGGAAGCTGTCCAAGCATAACGTTTTTAAACAAGAGCGTACTTCTTAAACACTTAAAAGAGTCTTGTCAACATTTATTGAGTCCATGCCATGTGTACATGCTCATTTTATCTTATCGGCGTCACTTTTGCATGCCTGCGGAAGTACACCATCTGCTCAAATGTGAACACTTTACAACTGTGCAAGCTGTGTTGATTTAATGTTTAAAGAATTGGTCGTCAAATCCAAACACTTAACAAGACTCTCTAGTATGTAAAATGAGTCTTTTAGCTAGATAGGTATACCGATGAATAATCAAGACGTTGCTGTAAAGTGTGTGTCGATCTTTTGTTTCCGTTTTTTCTCTGTTTTTTCTGGCTTTTTTAAATATATAAATCTTATTTTATCTTTTTCATTACAAAGGTAAATTTGTAAATCTTTTGTATATTCGGCTGCGCCCACTGACAAAATCCGGCCGAAACAATACAGTAGAAACTGAAGCGAAAGAGTTACACTCGGAAAAACTGTCTTCTAATTTTACGGATCAATGTTGACCT